GTACGATAGGCTGAACAGCTAGAGTAAGCCTACCTTCTTGCTGAGTTAATATCGCGTTCTGTTGTTGGGGCATTATCTTTCGTACGTGAAGTTCGTGATGCCAAGAAAAAGTGGCACACTCGGTGATGTGGCCCGCTCGGTGATGGAATACGTTATGCCTTCTTAGAACTCATAAAAATTAACGCGGCCTGTAGCACAGCTTAGAAGGGGTGCGACTTATCACTGCATTGAAGATTGTATTCTAATATTGCACTGTGTTTCTATTTTGCTGTTTAAGCAGTGTTCTACGGCTCTGCCGCTTTGTTGCTGCGATGTTGTTGCGCTATTACGCTGTGATCAGGAAATTTTACACTACAAGCCTAATCGCACTTTGCCCTACTGATCAAGGCAGCATAGACCTAGAGGTACCTAAAATCATAGAGTTCTAGCTGTCAATAACCTCTCCTCTAAGCTCTTGGAATTGGTTCACAGGATGTAGATTGAGAAGAAAGCTGCGCTAAAGCTACACAAGCACTTCGTATTAGCATGGAACTTGTTCCCACTTGCCGCTTATCGGTATGAAAAAAGGCGGTAGAGCTTATGGTGTAGAATTTATCATGTAATAGGTGGTTATGTTAATACGGAGATTCCTTACATATTACTGTTCACCGAGCTTATAGCAGCAGAGCTTCTGGGAGCCTCTTAGCGCTATTTTCCTCTTGCACGAGAAGCCACTTGCGGCTGATGTTAATATACTGCCAAGGCCAAAATTAGCATGCACATAGCTGAATTTTCATGTGCAAAGCCAGTGCTCAATCAGCGAGTCTCGCAACTCAGAAGAGCCTACAGGCATAAAGGCACTGCATCCAGCACTGTGCCGTACAGCAAGCGATGTTTCACGTGGTTAATATTATTAAATAAACGAGAGAGCCGTTAGCAAAAGCGATGACTCATTCATAAGACGATGGGCTTGTCTGACCGATGTGAGGAGTGCAGTGTCATGATCCTTGGCAACAACTCGGCGTCTAACGAGACGAGACGGCAAGCAACACACTACTCTACCCACACACCGAGAACCTCAAAGCCGTCTGAGCATTTGTCATACCAGCATAGCCACAAACTTAGATATCCATTCATCTGTCTTTCCCATGGAACCATCCAGAAGGAAGTCTTGCCACCCTAACCGCACTGCCTCATTCCCACGACTCCGCCGGCTCAGCAGCAACAAGCCAGCCTGGCCTCATCGCCCCAAGCCAGCATAACAAAATTCTCCAAACCACTAAGCTGTACGCGAGGAAGATTCGTCAGCAAGGCGCCTCTTCCCTCTCAACACTCAACCACGTGTCCCTGTCCCAACGCCCAACCCCTTTTGTTCCCCCTTGCAGCCACGCAACGCAGTCCCTCGACAGGGCATAGCAGAGGCGACCCACGTAGCTCTCTCCATCGCAGAAGATAGCGTGTCATTGACTCACACCACGCATACTGCACTAATGCACTACTGCACCATGCCGACTTTCCAGACTACATACGTATATACTATTACCACACTATACCTCTACTTGAGCTATTGCAGCAGTTTTTCCAGCACCAGCCCCAGTCCAAGCCTGCGAGTCCATGGCTAACCCCCCAACAAGCCCCAGTAGGTATGTGCACGTTCCCCCTGTCTTCTACTCCTCTGTGTTTCTCTCCTTCTGTCCGTCCGCAGCGAGCTAGCTAGCTGGCAACTGCGTTGCACGAGCGGGGGCCCAAGTTTGACTCATACACACGGACATGGACACGGATACGAAGGGACAGAGCGAGAAAAGAGACAAGACCATGGCTTGTGTGGAGAAGACTAGGAAAAAAACTACCGTAGCGATGTCGGAACCCTGACCTGGCTAAGCCACGAGCAGCAGGAGGTAGAGGAGGAAGACTGAAACGTGGGAAACGATTTATACTGGCTAGGCACATTTATCCGTGATTATCGCCACGACTTGCATGCTCACTAGATCGTTTCCTCTCTCTGTGCAGTCTTTTTCTTTTTCCCCCTGAAGTTTATGGAATGCCAGGCCACGGGTTTTTTTTAAAAATCTTTATTTGATACTGAATGATATTCAGATAAGTAAAGGGTACTCTTTCTTAATTCTACCCATTTCTTTGGAAAAGGAGCGTGGCCGAAACGGGTGGGTGCCAAGACTTATCAAGGTGAAGGAATGAAGAGACACATACACACACAGGTGAGATATATGTTAAGGTAAGGGCTGTTGAAACTATTTTAGGCTTAAATTAGCATATTAGGCCTCTTTTCTTTCTTTCCATTTCATTTTTTCCTAGTTGTGCTGCATTTTGGCTGCTTGTGAGTTTTCCGGTTGTGCAGAAGGAAAACATGTTGATGAAAAAGGGGACATAAGTATAAAGACTTTGGTTTGAAAAAGAAAGTAAAACAAAGGAGAGAAAGAGAAGAAGAAGAAGCAAGTACACACGTTCCCTACACGCGCAGTGCCCCGAACAAGTTTCAAAGGCAAGTAGAAACGAAGACAGTGGTTTGGGTCTGGGTTTGTGCACACGACCATCTTTTTTCCCAACCCAACACAGCCCGATACCACGGCCCAACCAGCCAGCCAACCAGTCAGTTCAGTTCAGTCACAGCCAGAGATGTCAACAATCAAGCTCATCAAGCCGAGCTAACTTGATACAGTAATAGGCTAGCTTTTTTAGGCCTAATCATTACTATATCGCGTTAGCTCGGCTTGATGAGCTTGATTGTTGACATCTCTGGTCACAGCCAGTACAAAGAACGAGGTGTCCAAGCGAGTGAGAGAAAAAAAACCCCCCCAAGACGAAGAAGACGCCAGAACGGATTTCCGCGTGCCAACGAGTCACGAGATACATGGCGATAATGCTGATTACGGGTAAGTCGCCCCCAGGCCATGTGACTATGTAGTACAACCCGCTAGTCGCATCTCAGCAGCAGAAAGCCGTTTGTATGGATGTACATGCCATGTTGTCCATTCATGCATTGTCAGGGCCTAACATAAGAGCAAGGGTCGTATCTAGTCCCAATCCCCAATCCCCAGTCTAGTCCAGGATACGAGCACCTACATGCATAGTGGAAAGGGTCCAGGGTAAACTTGCCCCAATAGTGGCCATGTATGTGTGTGTGTCATTGCAGGATGAATATGTTTTTCTAGGCGCTGAAACGTTTCGAGTGGAAAATGTATGTGTATGTGTGTGTGTGTGTGTGCTAGTAACATGGATGGGAGGTGGGCGGACGGGGGGTAAGCAGATAAAGTTAGGAAAAGCATTACAAAGCAAAGGAAGTTGGCCCCCGCCCACCCTTCTTCCCAAGCTTGCAACCTTTCCCCCCAGGGAGTGGGGGTTGAATGGAAAGATATCAGTGTCAGTGTGGCATGTGGCTGAAGAAGCAAAAGAAAATGTGGATGGTATGTAACAAGGATGTCGTTATGAGAAGGGCAAACTGTTCAGACAGCCAGCCACAACAATCTTTATTTGTTTATTTTTCATTTACTTTTTTACTTTTTTTTACTTTGGCCAGACACATCATGGGTCTGCATCTCAGCATCTTGGTTGTTTGTTTTCAAACACTTCTCCCCAACCCCCCCTCCCATCATCTTTTTGCTCCTCACTGCTATTTTCCCATGTGACATGTCCCGTCTGTCTAGGCAGGGCGTTCACACCGCCGCGGCCGCCACCGCCAGCCAAAAAAGGGCCGGCGGATGAAGAAGAGGCGGGATAGAACAGGGGTCTTGATGTGCCATTTCTTCAAGCCCACGTATATGTGGACGTCGGGCAGCCCAACGCATCCGCATTACTCGCTTCTTTTTCCCTTCCCACATGCTCACTCCCACACAGACACCCGGACAAGGCCGTGGTGGGCCGGCTTAACCTACCGTATATATGGGGTGCACACAGCTCCTGAGATCATCCGACCAAGCCCACGGGCGGTTTCGCACTCTCGCACCCACCCCACGTCGCCTACCCCTGCCAAACAGGAACAGAAAGCGGTATAGCGTGGGCACCGCCACAACGGCTTTGGGCAAAGCACACCGCAAATGTTGCGGCCGATTGCGCACAGTCCCCCATGGGCAAAAACGCAAAATTGCATGTTGACACAGGATGCATATTGTGCTTTTTGGGTCATGGCCGTGTGTGCGTGCAAAGGAGGGTGGGGGGGGGGTCAAGGGAGAGCCGTCCAGGATATGTGTGCTGTCGCAGGTTCTAGATTGCGTGTGCGACAGGGCCCCGGGCGGAGAGGAGAGCAGTCTAGATTTTTTTCCCTTCCTTTCCCTTTGTACACGGTGTTAAGTTTCTTTGCTGGGCCGAAAAGAACTCAGCACTGTAACGACGTTGCTGTGGCGGCGGATGTTACGGAGCTGCGGTGATGGTGCTATGCCGTGTGTGTGTGCCCATGTGCATCCATGTGGACACCGTGTGGCGAGCTCGGAAGCAAAGAGAGGTGAGGCCTTTTTTTGTTCTTTGCCAGTGCGCATGGAAATGCTGAGCTGGCCGTGCAAAAGGGGAGAATGGATGAGTCGATAAAGAGAGCCGGACATGCTCGGTCGGGCGTGCTGTGCCGCGCGCGGTGTGTGTGTGTGTGTGTGTGCGTGGTAAGGGGCCCAACACAGGCCGTCTTTCGTGAATGTTCTCGGAAGAGACGTGTTTCGCCATGGATTGAACAGAAGAAAATTGCGCACGTGGGCCTGATACGTAAAAGCAAAGGCTGCTTCGTTTCCCACGAGAGCTTGGATTCATTCCTCCATGGCGCAGCCACCGGCGGGGCCGCTTGGTGCGAAGTGGAAGTGGCGGTGGTAGTGGTAATGAACTCCATGTCCGCCCGGCGGTAGTGGCCGGATTCATCTGCCGCCGCTTCTGATTGCGTGAACAGAGCCCTGCATCTGGCATACGTTTCTTGATCAAGATGGGCTGCAATCCATTGGCCACAGTGGCCTGACTGTCATGCCTTTCTCCACACAACTTTGCCTCGTGGGTCTGCTGTTTCCGAGTGGACGCGGGGCCACGAACCCGCGGCTGGCCTGCCAGTTGTATCCACTCTTCTCAGCGAGGCTAGACTACTAGACACAGCCGAGGGACAGAGCATCAGCTTATCCATCTTTCTGCAACGAACCAGCGAGGAAGGGCTGCCGAAAACAACAGTGTCAATGACTGAACTGAAGATGCATGTGACTTTGAACAACGGATGGCAGAGGATGAAATGACGAGGCAGATCGTGACTGCATGGCGTCACAAGGCAGAGAGAGCTAAGGAAGGCGAGCGAGGAAAATATGTTACATTAAGGACAGGGGATAGAAGGATCAAACGGCGCGAACATTGCGAGTAAAAAAAAGGGAACCAGTGCGATGCGATGGATGGAAGAGAAACTGGTCACCCACATGATCCAAGCATTACCAGTCAACGCACCTCGTGATCTCGTTTCCCTTGGTGAAAGCCATCCCATCGTCAAATGTCGTCTCTATCAAACACGTGAGAACATAAGCCCACTTCAACACGGTGTCGCTGCCTAGCAGAGACACCAAATCGAAGCTTGCCTCTGTCCAAAACACAGCGCCTGATACTATGCAAGTAAAGCGCATGCTTTAGAATGGTCGCATGTGGGGGACCATGCCACCGGGTCCAACGGGCATCACAGGCGCGCCCGCAGTAGAAGGGCCAAGGCGGTGGAACATCTGCACCAGGCGCTCGCCAACACTAGGTTCAAGCTCGGTGCCATCCCTTGCGATTTTGACTTCGCGGTTGGCATTCCATGGATTGCGGAGACCCCTTGCGCGATAGAAGGGAAGGCGGTTTGTCGAAATCCACTCGATCCTGAAGGGCTTGCCCCAGCTCTGCGCAACGGCCGAGGTGTCCACCTCGACTTGTCGCTGAGCTGCTTCGTCCTTGTCCGTTTTGCCGGCTTCTTTTTCTTCCTTCTCCTTGTCTTCTTCTTCTCCCTCGCCATCAGAGAGCTCCGCCTCCCAAAAGATGGTGCCGCGCGCAGAGTCATCAATGATCCTTCCTCGCGGCGCCCACTCTGTTGCTGCAGTAGCAATGGATTTAGGCACATCTGGCGCATCCACAATGGCTTCGGGTTTAGGCGCCGAACCTATAACGCAAGAGCCATCATCGAGGATTTGTGACGCCATGCGGGCGTAACCAAAGTATTCGCCCGACTTATTGGCTGAGAAGATGAGATATACATTCTCAGCAGTCTGTCTTGCGTCAATTATACACGGACATTTCGGAACCGAGAGTGACTTACACGAAAAGCCTTGTTCAAAACGTCCTCGTTATGAGATTGGGTGGCCCAGATGCCATTTCTGACGCTGAGCTCTAGGTCTTGCAGAGTAAGGCTTTTGACGATGAAGTATTTGTTGGTGGTGTCAGAAGGAGGCTTCTCATTGTCGGCTGCTTTTTGAGAAGGAGGCTCGACAGCCCCTCCAGCAAGATCATCAGAGACGCCGTCTTGTACTGGTGTTGCTGGTCGAGAAGTGTTCTTCTGTTGGTCCATCATAGCCGAAGGGGCTGTAGGTACGCCAGATGCTGGGGCTGAACTGCGCCGAAGGCGACAGACTAGTCGCACACCATTAAAGCGCGAATCGTGGAACCGGTGCATTGCAGCCGTGCACGACTCCTCTGTGCGATAGTTGACAAACGCACAGTTGCTCTTGGAGATCAGAAACAGACTCTCAATGTCTTTTGTGGCCTCGCGGGAGAAGTGGTCCTTGAGAGCAACCACGGTGGTTCCAGGAGGAAGGTTTCCGACCCAAAGGGCATGTCCAGATTGCTTGGGCTTTCGCGGTGGCCCACGCGGGATAGAACTCACAGGTCCGGGGCGAGGTACTCCTACAAGAGCTATTAGCCCTTACAGTTGCACGAGCGACGAAGCGACACATTCATATGGAGAAATCCTGCAAACTCACCCGGGGACGGTGCCAACTGGGCGCCATAGGGGGTCATGAGCGTGGATGGGTCACTCTGGAAGTTTGTCGTAGGCATCCGAGGGCCTAGAAAGTGACTGTCAATAGGCGGATAGTCCGCAAGCTGTCCTTGCATACCCATGTTTGACAAGCTCGCTCTTCTCCCATACATTGTTTGGTTCTGCGGAGCTTGCGCTGCAAAACCCGGGTTGTAGTGTCCCTGGGGCCCATAAGGCGCTGGGTAGTACATGTAGTGCGATGCCTGCTGGTAGTTCTGGTATGGCGGTTGCATTGGTGCCGCACCAGCCGGACGAGCTTGGTTGGTAGTGAAAGACGGATAGGCGCTGTACTGAGAGCCATGCTGAGGCATGAAAGATTGTTGGTGCAGGCCAGCCGCGAAGCCAGGACCGTATAGTGAGTGTGATGGTATGTTGCCCTGCATTTGTAGGTTGTGGCCAATATGATAGGCCACGGCTGATGTCGATGCGCCCGAAAGCGAGCGTGGCACTGTTTGGGCGTTAAGTGAGGAATCGTCACCAGCGCTGAAGTCTGGCAACGTTCCAGTCATTGCGCCCATGTTAAGCATCGAGGCGCTGTGTTCTTGAGATGGATAATGTCCGGTCGAATGCGCGGGTGAGCGGTGGTCTTGTCGAAGCTGACCCTGGGGGAGGGCGCTGAGCTGGGTGTGAAACGGAGAAGCTGTGTCGGCAGGTTTGAGCGATGTTGAAAAAGAAGTGGGTGTGCTTCCATCATGCGCGAAGCTAGTCGTCGCATGGTCCATGGCTTGAGGCCGTGAGCCAGGAGGTAGGTCGCCCATGTGCTGCTCGTAAAAGACCGGAAGAGGCACCCACTGTTGGATCCAAACGAAGGCCATGTTAGTCCATGTTACACTTGGTAAAACGAATTCTAGAAAAACGAATGTGCAAAGGGCCGATAACACCCCAACCCATAAAGACGGGGCATAAACATACCTAACTCTATATCAACCAGCCTTACAGAGGAGGGGTGGCAAGTCCGGGGACGATGGGTACCGAGAGTGAGTTGCTGACTGGGGAAGAACGTCGATCGGAGTGTTTCAGCGAAACAGGGTGGCTGTGAGGTGATGGCATGTAAAAAAAAGAAGCTGGGGGCGTAGGGGGGGGGACCGTTTGAGGGAAGATGAACGACTTCGGTTGATGTACCGCCTGGAGGAGCTCGCTTAAGGCGGAACGAAGATGATGGTCAGAATTACACAACCACTCAGATGACAGAAGCGATCTTGTATAGCCCCCTCCCGTGAGGTTGACGGCGCAACGGCAGGGACCGCAATGAGGGCAAGCGTGTGGGCGTGGGCGTGGATGTGTGTGTGTGTGCGGCAGATATGGAGAGCTAGGGCCACGGAGAGGAGCTCACTGGCCGGTCTAGTGAGAACGGGAATGCCGCACGAGGGTTTTGGCGAGATGTCTGCTTCAGTCGCCGCTGGCCGCAGTGAGTGGCCAGAGTGTGATTGGTTGTGTCGAGTGCAGGCTGTGGCTGTCAGGATAGAGGGTGAAGCGACATGGCCTGAACCGATACACTGGAGGCGAAATGATCACCGTGGTAAAAAGACGATTGGATGCCTGAGTCAAGGGGAAGGTAGAAAATAAGCGTTGGGAAAGTGGTATATCATCACATGTGGCGAGTGATGCCGTTTCTAGATTGCCATGGGCCGCTGGCGCTGATCATGGGCCATTTTACGAAAGCTTAGCGGGTCCCTTGGAAGCATTCTTCGGCGGACGAGAAAGCTAGATTCGGAGAGTATAACGGGCGTTGTCCAAGGGGCCAGGGGGGTGGGGGGGGGTGCTGGCGTCTTCCTTGCACATACATGTCCAAGTGTGTCCAAGGGCAGAGAAGGCACTCGACCAGGCCGCGGCGCGGGCAGGCGGCTGCGGACGTCTTGTGTCGGTGCAGGCGGCTCATAGCAGTGGCAGTCATGCTTAGTTCAAGATGGTGAAGTAATCCTACACCATCGACGGCAATGGGCCCGAAATGCACGCGACGAGTACTGGCCAATTGACGAGGCCACGGCTTGGGTGATCAGACGGAGGCTGCATAGACTGAGCCGCCCAGGGAAGTGCGGTCGCCTAGTGAACAGGGAGGAGCCGTGAGCGCCGCGTGGACGCATTAGGGCACCACGATAACGACCAGGCATGAGGGCGCCCAGGGGGGTGTGGGAGGGGGGGGCGCTGACAAGGGACCCGGCAAAAGCATGCTGTCACTGTCGTGTGTCTGTCAGTCTGTGTGGTCGAGGGAAGCGAAGGCCAAGCAGGCTGGGCGGCGATGCTCGCTTGGTTGATGGTGCGGGAATGCGTTGCGACCAGAGCGGAACAAAAGACGGAGCGTGCGGCCATGGCCATGGTATGGCTATGGGAGTGGGAGTGGGTTGGGAGTGGGTAGGGCGTGTGGTCTGGGACCCAGCCAGGTGAACCGTAGCGCCACGGCGTCCTGGGGGGCGCGTCCATGTGGGCCGCCCACTGTCAGCAAACTGGCTTTGGGCGAGGGCGCGAGGGCGACAGCGACAGCGACAGACAGCGGCCGACAGCGACAGACGGCGACAGCAGAACCAGGCGCCGCCGTCGCCCGGCCGTGGCTGGCGAGCTGGACTGCGTTCGGTACGGGCTAGGCAGTCCGCTGCGCTGGGCGGCCCGCAGCCGTTTCCACCAGCATCAGCATTGCTAGGTGTAGGCGTCGCTGTCGGCGTCTTTGCCACACTGCACTAGCATCGGCGTGACCGCATCGCGACGGCTGGAGAGATCTGCGCGCCACAGCACAGCCACCCACCCTGCGCCCGCCGCCACCGGCTCATGATCTTCGCCCGCCCACCACCGCCGCCCGCTGTGTCTGCATCCACGTCTGCTGCATGCTTGTCAACATGACGCTCGCTCTCGCTCTTGTCGCAAGAATAGCCCGGCCATGCAGATCCCACCCCCCCCGAGGCGTGTCCACGGCGCTGTGTGTGCATGCATGCAATGTGTGCGGCCGTCTCGCTGCCCTAGGTGCACACTACTGCTGGCCATGACACTGCTGCTCTGGCCTGGCACTAAGCAGATGCAACCACCCGATGCCCTCGGGATCTGATTTCAGCTTCTCGGTAGCTCGTCACATGGGAAACCAACCCGTCCGCCCTCCAGGGGAGCGTTGTCCGTACCCGCTTCAGGGTCCAGCGACCAGACCTCCAGCCATTATCGCCGTGAAGCCGCCGACGCCCACACGACACAGCACCAACCCTCCAGAGCCCGCCTGGAATCCTGCACCGTCTCCTCCCCGCCCGCAGGGTTCATGGCTACTTTTTTTCTTCTCCATCGAGACGCTCCGGTAGGCCGACAGACACTGCCACTGCCTCTCCCGGCCCATCCGTCCACCACCGGCGCCTTGCGTGCGTCGCCATACGTATACAGAGTGAAGCAATTGAGGCTGTGAGGGATCATCGGCCCCAGGGTACACATGGAGTATATGCACTCTGCTTCATTCCTGGCCCACGACCCTTCCACCTCTACCGATAAGCGGGCCACGCCCACATCTAGTATACAATACGTAGCCCCTGGCGATCTGTCGTCATCCCCACACTGCCTTTGGCACTTGACCAGCCATCCTGGACCCTGGTCGCGTACACAGTACGAGCACGAGTGCGAGCACGAGCACGAGCAAACCGCTCCCGTCCCAAGGAACCATTTCACGCCCGCGGAGCCTAACTGATGCGCCCCTCGTCAGCGCACATCACGTCTGCTACACTGGCACTAGCATTCCTTCATCGTTTGCGCCATATGCATCGCATCGCCATCGGTCTATTGGGCTGCTGACTGTATACCTAGGGCGACCCAGTCTGCAGTCTGTCTTGTGCCATTTTGCCACTCTATGTATTCGTACATGTCCAGCCGATATTGGCGCCATACCAGCCGTGGAAAGTCTACCGCTGAGCTCCGGACCATGCCCAACTCTGCTTCCGGCCTCTCCGAAGACTCGACAATACCCAGTGTTCCTGCGCAAACCGCCAGCACCTCGACAAGCATGTGTCCATGAAGAAACGCATACTTCCTGATGCAACGTGCGGTACAAAATCCAAAAAGGCCCTCCGTGGAGAAGCCCATCTAAGCCAATCGCGGCGACTCGGTGACATATCGGACGCTCGCCCTCGGCCCCTGCTCTGACTCGCGCGCCTCCCCGTCATTGGTTGCCCTGAAGAGGACAGCGTGGAGCTTGCTCGGCGTACTAATCGATTCCATCTGACCACCAGTATTCTGGCCATGTTCACGCTCAGCGGGCCACATACTCGTTCAGAAACTCTTCAATGTACTGGAAATAGCCGTGTTCTGCAACGGTGTCGTTGTGGCTGCCGTTGGGCAGTTCTCTCCATACCTTGGGCGCTTTGCACACATCGAATAACCGCGTCATGTGCGATGGCCTGCCGTCGAGTTAGTGACTGCAACACGTGGTGCTAAATCGTCCCATGCTCAAAACAGACAGAAACCCGGTGCCCACTCACGGGATGATTTCGTCCTTCAGACCGCTGAGGAAAAGAATGGGAATCTTTGCAATCTTGGGCATCGTATCCTCTGTAGGCCAGATTTGATGGCACAAGGGCGTCAGAAAGCGAGCAGGTGGAAAGGCCCTGGTTCAGGTCAGTGACGTCACTCAACGGCTGCCCACCACTCACGTTGGTATGAGTTTCTTGATCGACGTGAAGGTGTTTTCCAACATGATTCCGGCAATATCGCCCTCCTTTTGGTTGCGCGCCGCCAGTCCCACAGCCACAGCGCCACCGATACTCTGGCCATAAATCACAATCTTAGTATCTCGGAGTTCGTGTCTTTGGCGGATGTAGTCCAGACCCGTTTGCGCATCGATCATCAGCCCCTTTTCATTGGGATTTCCAGACGACAGGCCGTAGCCACGGTATTGCAGCATCAAGACATTGCAGCGCAAGTCGTTCTCCAGTATCTTTGCAATGGGGAGCCGATAGCCAATATTGCCTGCGTTGCCATGGAACATGAGGATGGTAACGTTGCGCGCATGTTGCTTGCTGGCTCGAATGAAGAAGGCGCTCAGCGACTCGCCGTCGGGCGTGGGAATGAACAACTCTTCGTAGTCGGTGATGCCGAATTGCGAGGGCCGGGGCACGTTGGTTCGAGCGTCTGGCGGGAAATTTCGTGGGTATATGATTTCACTGTTAAAGTTAGCCGTGATGATGGGTCCAAGCCGCTGGTCGTCGCCTGTCTACTTTTGCTTGAAATAAAGGAGACCACTGAGCAGGGCTGCGATTCCAGAAGACGCAATGAGCGGAATGCGCAGGTAGGACATGAACGAATCGAGCGCCGAAGCCATGCTGCTGGGACGGGCTCCCGGCTCCGTGGGGCGCGTGGAGGGTGTGAGCGCAGTGACTGAACGGCTTCTTGAGAATAGGGGCCTTGTTGACTGTGAGGAGGGAGCGGCGCGAGAGGGAGGAGGAGGAGGGTGAGGAGAAATAGGAAACTCAACCATTCGGAGAGTCAGACATGAAGCTGCAGTGGAGGTTCCGACGCGCGACCACGGGACTGGGGAGTCGCATGGTGCGGTGCGTGGTTCAAGCCAGTTGCGCAGTGCCAAGACATTGAGCTGCGTAGCTCGGGCTGCCTGGTGCACGACAAGCTACAGCAACGACACACCTCGCCGCTCTCCGCCCCTTGCTCAAGTTTGTCGTATAGCCAGTCTTGTCGATTCCCGCTCTGTTCCTTTGACCAGCTTCAATTACAATGATGATGGCTACCGGCGCGCTGTCAGAAGGTACGGGTGCCACTCGGTGTACTCAAGCTGGAAGCTCACTCATGCGCAGATGGCATCCACGTCGATATGAACCACCTCAAGAAGGGTGAGGTCAAGTGCGTATTTGCGCCCCCGTGTATGCGTTCAGATTGCTAACCATATATTCAGCCTCGGAACGTCCATGTATGTCTCTCTCGAGCAGGCAATGGCATAGTTTCTCACAGCATGTAGCATGGCCATCAACTTCAAAGACGGCGTCATATTAGCCGCCGACAGTAGAACGACGACCGGAGCGTACATTGCGAACCGAGTCACGGACAAACTCACACAAGTCCACGATACAATCTGGTGCTGCCGATCCGGCTCCGCGGCAGACACACAGGCTGTGGCAGACATTGTCCAGTACCACCTGGGCATGTACGGCGCCACCAACGACGAGCCTCCCACTACACAGACGGCGGCAGCCCTGTTCCAGGAGCTCTGCTACTCCAACAAAGACCAACTCTCGTAAGTGCGGTAGAGGCTCGTAACGGCCAGTGACTGACTTGGCTGCAGCGCCGGACTGATCATTGCCGGCTGGGACCACCGCCACGGCGGCCAAGTATACTCGATTCCGCTCGGCGGGTCGCTGCACAAGCAATCATATGCGATTGGCGGATCTGGATCTACGTACATCTACGGTTACTGCGATGCAAACTGGCGGGAGAACATGAACGAGGAGGAGGGCATCAAGTTCGTCAAGGGCGCACTGTCCGAGGCGATCAAGTGGGACGGAAGCTCTGGCGGTGTTATCCGCATGGTTGTGCTCACAGCCAAGGGCGCGCAGAGGCATCTGTACCTGCCCGACCAGAACTATGAGGGGCCCGGCCGGCAGTAGAGGGCAGCATGTGGGGGGTGCTGGGCGATGGATGGATGCCGATGCACGATGGGAAATGACACGACCACGATGGCGGAGGAGATGGGCGGGCGGCAAGGACGTAGGATAGCACGGCCAGGGCAGGCGTCGATTGAAGCACCCGATGTCAAGGAGCGAGTGGCTACGGCTGCAATTACTACTAGTAGTACTAGAGATCAGCACGTGTGAGTGGGCGTGTACACATACTACACACACACACATGTTAGACAGGGGCCACGGGCGTGGGAGCGAGCGGCGGCCACGGACCAATCACGAGGGCGCATTGGCCCATGGATTGCCAGCCGTGCCAGTCGGCCCAGGTATTCCAATCAAAACTCTATTCGGGACTGCACGCGCACGCGGGGCACGGCGGTGATGCCCAATAAAACGGAGCAGGCGTGGTGGTGAGGGCAGCGTGCTCATGTCGGCGTGTGTAGGCACAGGCGTACAGTAGGCGTCGGCGAAGGGAGGCGATGCACAGTGTCGTCACATGGGCGGCGACGAGAGCGCAGGTGAATTGCGGCCAGGGTCCCGTCCTTCGAGCCAGTCGCTGGTCTGTATGTGACGTGCCGTTGGTTCCCCACGCCGCAGTCGAACAACACTGCGATACTTCGTCACTCAACACGCCAGGTCTCTGTCCTGCGCACCCTCGGCCTCTACCTCGCTGCGGCGCGTGCCGTTCAATTCCCCCCTCGTGGACCACGGCAGACTGAGCAGGCTCGCATGCCCCATCCTATCCGCGCCCCTTGAAGCTGCGTCGACGTTTGGGCTCTTGCGATAAGGCTCAACAACATTAGACTCCAGACACCGCCTTGCACGCTTCCTCGGCCGCCCCCGCCTCGCGCCCTCGCCGCCAGCGACACAGTCGCCGTGTCGTCGCGTCGTCGTCGTCGTTGTCGTCGTCCATCGAGCCCTCGCCCCGCCTCTTGTTCCTTTCCTTGTATCGCCCTGCACACGCGGCATGGGATCACTTCTGGTGAGCGATTTCGGTGGAAACCACTTTCACACCAACATGTTTGGCACCGGCACCACACATCAGCAGACACCGGACGCTCCTGCCGCCCATCACACGCCCGTCCGGCCCTCGCCCTCGTCCGCCGCCAATGCGCCGCGTGCAGTCGCTCCGCCCGCTGATGTCCCCATGGCCGATACAGGAGCCCCGCAGTCGAGCTCGACTCCAGGCCAGCGATCGCAGCACAACAGCTCCCAACTCGGCACCGGCACCGCCGCGACACAGCAGCCCGCGCCCACGCCCCCCAGCCCATGCTTCCGCCCGCACTCACAGCAGCCCACGCCTTCTGGCTCCGCCCCCGCCTCGGGCGCCTTCACAAATACGCGACCCGTCGCTTCGACGGCACCAGCTCCCGTCCAGCCCTCGCCCGCCCACTCCTTGCAGTCGCCTGCAGCCTCGCCAACCCGGATCAAGGTCAAGAGCCTCTCGCACATCCAGAGCTTCGCCATCGACGAATCCAGCCCCTTCTCCCAGACGCGATCGCTGGCACGGCGGCAGCGGCGAGACCCTGCAGATGTCGGCCCACAGTACGAGATCAGCGAGATGCCCGTGTCTGATATCATCGAAATGGTGGCCGGCCTGTTGACCAAGATCACGACCACAAACGACCGACAACACGACCACTTGCACCGTCAAATCCCGCCCCCTGAAGGCACATCCGGCCTGAGCCAGCAGACGACCAGCGTTCTCGCCTTCCACGGAAAGAATGTGCCCAGTATCTCTATCCTCAGCTATCTCAGCAGAATCCACAAGTACTGCCCCACCACCTACGAAGTCTTCCTAAGCCTCCTTGTCTACTTTGACAGGATGACTGAGAGGGTAAATGCTGGCCCATTGTCTGGTCTTCGCAAGGCTAACCAACAGTCTGTGGAACGCTCCAAATCTGCACTGTCGGCAAGCTCGACCAGCCCAGATGTCATCAAACCCGAATCGGCTTCGGCTCAGGCCGCAACACCTCCCCCTTCAGGGTCGCTGGGCAAGCCATCCGATGCGCCAACTGATGGTCCTCAGCCACCGTCTCCCCCTCAGCAGAACCTCAACGCAGACGCTGCGTTGAACCTCTCGCACTTTTTTGTGGTTGACAGTTTCAACATTCATCGTCTGGTCATAGCAGGCGTTACGTGTGCAAGCAAGTTCTTCTCTGACGTATTCTACACAAACTCACGATACGCAAAGGTTGGTACAGATTTATCCAGTTCAAAGACGGTTTGCTAACGTGTCAAAGGTCGGCGGCCTGCCTTTGGTAGAGTTGAACCACTTGGAACTGCAGTTTCTGCTGTTGAATGACTTCCGTCTCGCTGTTCCCTTGGAAGAGATGGAAGCATATGGAACAATGCTGGTGGAATTTTATGCCCGTGAGGTAGCCGAACAGCACGAAAGAGAGCGTGCCAGCAAACAACAATAGTGCAGTCGGTTTGAGCAAACTCTTCCAAGACCGACTCAAGCCGTGTGGCAAACACGACAGAGATGAGCAGTGCGACGACAGTTGGTCCCTGCTGAGCAAGCAGGATGGTACTGCATGCCGAACTAGAAGAGGAGCAGGCGACATGACTTGTGTACGGCATGCAGCTTACCAACTGCACGCATTGCGACCAAATTTTCCGTGACCAGAGTCTTTGTGCTCTGGTATAATTTGAGTAGAGACGGGCAACCTCAAGGCTTAGTTTTCGACTTGGCTCTCTTTGAGCCAATGCGTGGGCGGGCGTATCTCCTTAGATGTGCTTAGATTTTGGGATACCAATTATTTCTTCGTTTAAGAGAGAATTTTATGAAATTATAGCAAACTTGGTCTGCTTGCCTTGGTGATTGCTTCCTTCACTTCAATAGCCCGATTGCTTCGTCCACCTCAATAGCACCATGGCAAGGGGGTTGATTCCTTAAAGTGAGGCTGACCACTGCATACTGTCTCGGTTTCCCCCCTCCCCTCCCTCCCCCACCCACCCCCGCCATGCCAACGAATACATCACGCCAGTGCCAGAGCAAAAAAAAATGATGTAACCAAGCAAGGAGAGCGGGGCGGGGCTGAACAGGGCAGCCTTCCCTCTTTTTCTAACACTGACACCATGAAGTATAGCATGTTCCATTGCGGTAGATTTCCCGCCGCCTTACCTTCCCTGGCTCCGGCACGCATGCATGCATGCATGTACATAGCAAGACGGGGAAAGAGAGAAAGGAAAGAAGAAAAAAAAACTTTCTTTCACCCTGACCTCGCATTGACGCAAGACATCACATCAAGCAGCCGACTGGGTAAATGCAAAAACTACCCACCCAGAAAAAAGGAGGAGGAGGAGGAGGAGGGGCAAAATGTGGGAGGGGAGAGGAGGGGGGAAGAGAAGAAGAAGGTTCCGCTTGCTTCAAAAGTCCGACATCCTAATCTCTCCTATGCTGGCGCAACCGACCTATGGGGCCGCCACTAAGTACCTACTACCACGCACCCCCTTGCCGACATTACCATTATTACTATTGTTATTAGTATCGCTGTTGTTATTATTATTCTTATTGTCGCGCAATCCGAGGGAGGAGGGGGGGGTTTCAATACAATCCATTCCGTCCCGTTTTTTTTATTTTTGCTAAATCCAACTTTTGATCCACATACCATACATATACATTACAGCTACCTACCTAAGTACCTACCTTGAACTTAACAGCCACATACACACACACACACACTCACTCACTCACAGCGAAATACACGCATATATCTACGTATATCCAATATACTACTCCACAGCAAATAAATGCTCCGAGAATCCCTGTTGAATTTCCCTTTTTTTTTCTTTCTTTCGCGCGTGTAAACGTACTAGTATATACGTACATATTTTCGTCCGTCGGTCGCTCCGCCCCCAGGGAGCGCACGCACGCACGCACACGCATGCACGCGCGTGTCGGCCGCGCCCTCGTTCAGCCGCGGTGCCGCTCGGCAGGGGTGGGGGGGGGGGTTGCGAATGCGCCGGGGAGAGAGTGGGGGGGGGGAAAGTTGCATTACATACACACGCACACGTACACGTACGTACGCCTTGCTGGCTAACTTGTTTAAGTTGGAGATATGTATAAGCCAGGGCGGGAGGGGGGGGCATTGTGTCTCGTTGGTATATTCTGGTTTTTAAGTACTTATATAGATGGATAGTTGCATTTGCTGTGCATGCTTAAGGTATGGTATATATATATATATATATATATGTGTGTGTGTACGTGCTAAATAATACGTGAATAGCTGTAGGACTAAAAGGGAAAAGAAAGATGCGATACCCAATCCATCTGTTTCTCGCGCGTGCGTTGGGCCAAATGTGACGCGTTGCCGCGCCGCAATTGTGGAAGGGCGGCCGACGGAGGTGCATCGTGGACCCTTCTTTTTTTTCCCCCTCTTTCAAGCAGCCAGAGCGCGACTCCTTTTTTTTATTTTAAATGAAAATGAGATCATCGATAACAAGCGCGCACGCGGGGGGGGGAGGGGTGATTAGACGGGTGCGAGAAACAGGGGGCAGAGAAAGGGAGAGAGAGAGACCGTCCAAAGTGCGTTGTTTTGCCTGATTCAGGGGCACAGAGGTACTTGCACTTGCGTGATGGGGAGTGCGTGTCCTAGGTGTACTAGTTGGTATTCCCTTTCTTTCTTTTCTTTTTCCCATGTTGGTTTTGGCTTTGTTATCGTGGGGCCGGTGGGGACGCTTTACATACTCCGATACATACTGTGAGGCCTTTCTCTCTCTCTCTCTCTCTCTCTCTCTTCCTTTTCCCTTTTCCCTTGTGCAAAACAGCCATTGACCACGCGGTAGTAGCTATTGCATAGCGCGAGGGCCGTGTTTTATTCTATTTTGTGGCTCCGCCATTTCCCTTTTTTATTCCTTCACTCGTTTTCTTCGCACTATGCTTGATTAATTTTCTTCCTAGAATTGTTGGTTCTAAGAAGCGTTGCAGCGGTTGCTACCCCGTCATCTAAAGAGCATTTGTGGTGTTGTTCATCTTGCAAAATGCGCTCCGCGTCTTCACCGCCATTATCGCAAATATCCTTATCCACAATCATCCAATATGTGTTTCTAGCTGTTCTAGCATACGTCCTTGCCGGCGCGCCTCTTTCTTCTCTCCTCACTTCCTCGTTGCGTTTCGACAATGGCTATGATGCCAGCGGTAGCAGGGCAAGAGAAGGCAAAGTCGTCGACGTGAGAAAACTCGAGAGCTTGGTGATCCCAGAAAAGAATTTGTCATGTGCAGAGCATCGATACAAGGGTATTCATATCATGAGCCGGGAACCTTTGGTTGTGTATATTGAAGGGTTCCTGGGAGAGGGAGAGGGAAAAGAAGTGGTTGAGTTGAGGTACGTTGTCTGATCATCTTCTGGTACAGCCAGAGACCACGAGAGATGTTGGAAAGAACCATTCTTCTATCTTGCAACGCCTCTACCAGCATCTGAAAGCAATAATCATCAGATACAAGACATATCATGCCAAGATAACCATACATTGAACATAACCATTGTTCAGTATAGCTAACAACCACCAGCTCTCCCCACTTCAAACCCTCCACAGTCTGGTCCTCCGGCCGCGAATCCCTTAATCCCAGCATCCGCCTCTCAGAGAAAGCTCCCTTGCCGCGCTCCAATACCGTAAAATGTATCGAGGACCGCGCACGCACCTTCCAAGGCTGGCGCCAAAACACCTTTGTCGAGAAGCTGTGGACCCAGCGCTACGGCGTGGGCGGCCACTACACCTACCACTACGACTGGAGCAGTGCCAACAAGCACAGCGGCCGCGTAAGCAGCTTCATGGTCTATGTAGACGGTCAGTGTGAGGGCGGCGGCACGCACTTCCCGCGCCTGGAAAAGCCCCGCGACCCCAGCTGGTGTGCGTTTATCGAGTGTGATGTCCAGGGTGTCTATGGCGATTCAGCGACTTCTGCGTCTTCTTCTTCTAGAACAACACCCGGTAATGGCGAGGATGATAATAAGACGGGGATGCTGAATCGCCAGCAGGATCGCCCGCACGAAGATCTCAACAAGGGTGTTATTTTTAAACCTATTCCCGGTAACGCCGTCTACTGGGAGAATATGCGCGTTGATGGTTCGGGGTACCCCGAGAGCTGGCATGCAGGATTGCCGGTTAAAAAGGGAGAGAAGATTGGCTTGAATATCTGGAGTTGGATGGTCGATGGTTATGTGCCGCCGTTGGATGAAGTGCAGCAGACAGAGGAGGCTGGGAGAGAAAAACATGTTTGATACATAAGGAGACTATAGGATAACAAGAACACACGCAGACAAAGATGCCTATGATCCTTAAAAAAAACTTCATCTGCAAGAAATATGACTTTGCTGAGTATGGTAACCAGAACTCTCCATGAAGATAAGCCGAATCCAAAGAAAGCGACGTGTATCACGGGTAGCAATCACTTTCACCTGCACCAAGTACGACAGTCACAAATAACAAAGCATCTGAAGCATCTGAAGCAATCTATGCACTACACCAAATTATACTACAAGCCAATAGCCCAACCAGTCCGCGCTTGACTAATTCCATGCAATTACCTTAATTCAAAACCCTTCCAGCAGTCGAAGCCGTACTTCTATCCCTGGTCTCTACTTTCCTCAATCCCCTTCCAGCGGCAATCTCACCGAGCAGCGCACCACGGTCTGGTGCTCCAGCTGGAGCCTTCATGGCAGGCATAGGTGGTGGTGGGGGTGCACCGCCACTTGGAGGCGGCGGTGGGCCTGGAGGTGGTGGCGGAGCACCACTCGAAGGCAAAGGTGGTGGAGGGGGAATACCTGCAGGAGATGTCACAGCCGGGCTCTCAGCGCGAGGGCTCTTATTGTCCATCGAAGACAGAGGACGCGGGGGCGCCATGGTACCGAAAAGCATAGAAGCTAGCTGTTTGGCTCCACCTTGTGAAGGCCCCTCGTCGTCGTCGGACGAGGAATCATCCGAGTCGACGACAGACCAGTCATCGTCGTCTTGTCGTCCTAGCCTGCGAGCTGACGGCGCACTCGGTTCGTTAAAGGTGGGCATGGCAGCCTTGTTGGCATTTTCTTGAGTCAGGCGATGGAAAGGGTTTGTAGAAACTTCGCTCGTGGTGCTTGTCGGGCCAGGTGGAGTGGAAGCGTTGTTGTTCTCCTGGTTGGACATGGCCATCTTCTTCAAGAACGGGTTCTTGGTCTCGGTGTCACCCATGCCAGGATGAGGACTCGTCACGGACGAAGCGGGTGGGCTGGCAATAGATGATGGCGGTGTGTTGTGCGAAACCTGCGGCATTGGCGGTGGCTGTGGAGGTGCCGAGTCGCGTGGCAATTCCTGGCTAGCGGTAGGTGTAGTATCCTGAGGAGTGATGTTTTGTGGGCCATCGTCATCTGACGACTCGTCATCGTCGAGCGCCTCCAGTTGCATCTGAAGCTGGCGTTCACGCTCACGAGCAGCCTCAATCTCGGCACGCTGTGCAGCCAACCGCGCCTCCTTTTCCTTGGCATCCTTTGAAGCAGCCTCTCTCCGTTTCTTCTCTTCAGCCTTCTTCAATTTACCTTGTGCAACCTGCTCTTCTAGAGCACGGAGTCTAGCCTGAGCAGCTTCACGTTCGCTAGCCAACTCGCTCTCTTGCCTGCGTTCCTCTTGCCTGTTTTGTGTTAGTGAAAGACTTATCAAACAACATCAACGTCTACTTACTCCATGCGTCTGGTCTCGGCTTCCTGGGCTTCTTGTTGCTCACGAAGGGCCTTCTCAGCCATGTCGTTTTCTGCCTTTCTGGATTCGGCTTCCGCTTGGTGTGCATCATGGTGGCCAATATCGTTCTTGTTCTTACGCGAGACGGGTGGTGGCGGCGCTGGCTTCTTACCACTGCTCTTGATTGGAACTGGTGGCGCTGCCGAGTCATCGTTGAGACGTCTTTGGCGCTCTTCTTCGCGACGCGCGTCCTCCTCCTCAGCTTGACGAAGCTTCTCCTCTCGCTCCCTCTTCTCGCGCTCTGCACGCTGCTGAGGGGTTTCGCCAGCCTTGACTGGGGCTTTGATGCCCAGGGCAGCTAGACGCTCAGCCATTTTCTGCTCAGCCTGCTGCTTGATAAATGCAGCCCGTTCCTCTGGAGTCTTGTATGAAGAACTGCCACTAGGAACGGACGTTGCAGGACGAGCAATAGGGTCAGCACGAGTGGCAGGGCTCTCGTAACGAGATGATGATGAAGGGCGATTATCAGCCGAACGAGACCTGTAGTTGTCCCGGGAAGAGCTTCAACTGGTTAGCAATGCTGCATTCTAATACATAACATGAGGCACTTACTCTTCTTTGCGGACGCGTGCTGCCCGACTGCTTCGCTGAAGGTCAAAGATGAAGTCTTTGACATCGTCCTCAACACCCAGAGCTTCCTCCCACCGACGACGCTCGTGCTCACTGGTATTGTCATGTCCACCTTCCTTGAGACTTGCCTCAAGTCCCTTGGTGTACTCTCGGACGCTGTCTTCGACATCGCGAATCATGCGCTCATTGTTCTCCCTTTCAGCTCGAATGCGTGATGTTTCTTTCTCCAGGCGCTCTGTTGCTGCACCAGTGTCGTCGCTAGCCGGTGCAGGCCTTCCGGTCAACGCAGCAGAACGAGCCTGCATCATAGCCTTGGCACGAGCTTTCAATCGGTCGGACTCTGTCACTGCACCACCTGGACCAGTGCCTACGATTGTGGATGCAGAGCCAGGGTGTGCTTTGGCATCCCTGAGTCTGAAGAGCTCGAGTTGGGCATCCGCAATCTCACGCTCAGTCCTGCGTACATTGGACGCGAGTTCAGGCAGGCGGTCAGTCAAATTCTGAAGCTGGCGCTTGAGGGCACGGCGCTCAGCATCCGAGTCGGCAGATCTCAACGATGCCTTAGGATGAGCATCAATGTCCTCCTGTACTCTACGGATACGGCGGTAAAGGTCGTCGGCTTCTCGTCGATCACGGCGGTCGAGCACATCGTCCTCGTCTGCTGCGTTCTCGTCTTGGGTGTCCATAGCATCCAAGAGAATCTGCTTTTCCTTGACTGCTTTTTTAAGCTGATCAAGAGACATGTCATCCGACCGCTCCGAAGCAGGAGAGCCAGGCTGCGCGGGGGAAGGCGACCGACCACCGCCACCAATGCGATGTCTGGCACTCGACTTGTAACCTACGTTGTCATCATTGTTACGGAAGACAGTGGCATCCTTACGGCCACCAGCCTGTGGGCTTGCGGAACGGAAGGAATGAGATTTCAGATAGCTAACACCAGTGCGTTGGGGCTGAAGGAACGCGCCGGAGTTCTTTCTGTCCTCGGCATCTTTGGAAAGCAGATTCTTCATGGCACCAATAGAGTCATTGATGTTGCGTGTTGAGGGAGGAACCAGCTCAGGAGGGAGACGAGCGGGGATAGGATAGCCATTGAGCTTGCGGTAGATCAAATGCATAGCAACAGCAAATTGATCGAGATCAAGACGACCGCGATCAGCAGAGTCGGCAAGCGTCCAAATGCGCTCCAAGTCGGACTTGGGCAGCCCACTTTGTCCAAAGATCTCAAGAGCCTGTGATCCGCTAATGTACCCCTTGCCCATACCATCCCAGGCACGGAACGTCTCATCATAAAGCTTCTTCTCGCCCTTTGTAATCGCCCAAGGAATAGTCGCATTGCCCGTCAACCCGGCAGTTGTGTGGGTGCCGCCTTCTCGGCCAGTCTGGGGCATCATTCTTTGCGCCAAAGCTTCAATGTTGGGCAGTCCCGTAGCGGGCGTGTTTGCAAGACCCCATTGACCAGGCATCCCAGTAGGCTGCGCATTGAGAGGTGCCATACTCGGTTGGTTGGGCATCAGGCCTGAGCCGAAGCCCGTAGGCATAGGAGGCATTGGCGGGCGCGGCCCAGTGTAACCACCTGGAGATTGTCCAAAGCCAGTAGGCTGCGGTTGCATACCAGTCGGCTGTGGGCCAAATCCAGTAGGTTGTGGCTGCATACCCCTTGGCTGTTGTCCGAATCCGGTCGGCTGCGATACCAACGTAGAGAGCAATTGGCTGTTCGAAGTCTGCGGTTGCGGTTGCTGGATCGCAGGAGGCTCGTTGATTTTGGGAGCATTATTAGCCGGCGTGGAGCCTCTCGAAGGCTCATCTGCGATGCCAAACGAGATGATATCCACCATGCTTGACACCTCATTCTTGACACGCTCAGGCAACGCATTCGGGAGGTCTTTGCCGGTCAACTTGAGGTTGCACAGGTACATGGCGAGGGCGAATTCGGGGAAGAGAAGCTGTCCCGACTTGGTGGTATCCGACAAGGTCCTGAGTCTGTTAGAACAAGCTAGCCGTGCAGCTATCTAAACGTACCAAATGTGTGACAGAGCATCCCCTGACAGCTTGGACCGCAACAAGAGGTCCCGCGCCTTGTCTCCTGACAAAGCCTGCGCATTCCCTACAGCCGATTTGAACAGCTGTTCAAACTTGGCCTGGTCCTGCGCCGTAATGAAGGAGAGCCGGATGTTTGGAATCTTGGTGCCCTTGGCGGGCACAGGCGGTGGCACCGAGGACGACGAGCTGCCACGGAACGAGTCAGCCATCTGCGACGAGGTCATACCCGTAGGCTGGGGCATTTGCGGTTGAGCAGGAGCCTGCTGCTGCTGTTGCTGAGGCGGTGCGCCAGTTTGAAAGGGCATTTGTTGGGGAGCCTGTTGCTGCTGAAACTGGCTCTGTTGGCCTGGAAAACCGGTATACTGTGGCTGGAGTTGCTGTTGCTGTCCGAAGCCCTGCGGCTGGCCCGGGAAGCCAGTATACTGCGGTTGGAGTGGGCCGCCGCCGAAGCCAGTGGGCTGAGGCATCAATCCGCCCTGGAAGCCTCCAGGTTGCTGTTGGAATTGCTGCTGCTGCTGCTGTTGCTGGCCATACTGCGGCTGCCCAGGTCGGGCGCTGTTGCCGCCCCCTAAGTAGGAGTTGGACCCAGAGAACATGGCGGGCGACGTGGATCGCGGATGAAGCTAAGGAGTGTGGATGCGCGCATGCGGGGAGGGAAGGGGAATTACACGACGAGTGCGCGCAGGCGGTAGTAGTGAAGGTGTAACGAGGTTGGGTAACAGAGTCTGGGCTGTGCCGGGTTACCTCAAGGCGCACGGGTAGGTTCGCGCTAGTGAGAGCTCCGTCGTCATCCTGGAGCACTGTCGCGTTCGGCTTCTCAGCCCAACCACACCCACGACTTCTCTTGCATCAGCCGCACCATGTCAAGCCAACAGAACGGAGCAGGTGCCGGGTCGCATTCCGAAGCCGACCTTGCGCAGGTAAGGTCCGTGGCAAATACCCGTCTACCAGCCCTAATCATTGTCCAAGGCGTTCAGGGAACTGCAGCGAGGCGAACAGACAGCCGCCGCCCTGGAGACGCACCTGGATTCGATCGAGAAGAAGATTGAGGCTCTGCTCGCGCAAGCAGAGAAGGCCGAGCAGGAGATGAAGGATGGCGCGGCGACCAGCGAGCAGTCGTCCAAAACAGATGGGAAAGACTCGTGAAGTCCGCAAGGCCATTGCATTCGGTGTTGGCGTGGATTCTACCGTCTGCAGATCTTGCCAAAGTAACTCCTCGCACATATTTTAATCTCAAAGTCAGGCCAGATGGTATATGCGCAACCACATGATTTCAACGTGCTAACGGGGTGGATTTTTACAACATAGTAGAGTTGTAGATTTTGAAAGCATGTGTCAGCTACTACTAATCACTCCTAGGTATAGTACTAATCACTTTTAGGTATACTAGTCACTCCAGAAGGAGGCGGCGATCGTCTTATAGACCACCAACAGTCGAAGGCTTTGCACCTGAACCCTCGGCCTCGAAGACCTTGTCCAAGTGGAATACCCCATTGCTGTCCTTCTCGACCACACCCACCTCGGTGATGATGCCGTCAATGAGCTCTGCAGGAGTGACGTCGAATGCTGGATTCCATACTCCAATGCCATTGGCTGCAATGCTAATAGTCTCAACGACGCCCAGATCGAGCGAGACACCATCGTGCCTCGGTCCCTTGACAAGCGTCACCTCCTTTCCAGGTCGCTCTTCAATGACAATGTCTGTGCCGGACTTTGTGTTTAGGTCAATTGTTGTCCGTGGCGCTGCTACGAGAAACTTGACCCCGTGATGCCTAGCAAGGATGGCGAGTGAATATGTGCCGATTTTGTTGGCAGTGTCGCCATTTGCCGCTACCCGGTCTGCGCCAACCACGATGCCGGCAATGTTCTCGCTCTCGCCCCGTAGCCGAAGCAGGGCTGCAGCCATCGAATCAGTGATGAGAGTCGCTGGTATCTTGTCGTGGACCAGCTCAAACGCTGTCAGTCTGGAGCCTTGGTTGTACGGGCGAGTCTCTGAACAAAAGGCATGCTTCAGTGAGCCGTTGGCATGCAATGACCGGATTACACCCAGTGCTGTGCCATATCCTGCCGTTGCGAGAGATCTGTGGCGTTAGTCGCCTGTAGCAGACAAAAGACTCCAATACACACCCAGTATTGCAATGCGTCAGCATGCTAACAGGGCCCTTTTTCCCCGCCTCGGTGTTGCTCACTATCCATTCTGCACCGTGCTTTCCGATGCTCTCGTTGTCGCTCACATCATCGACGAGCATCTGCTCTGCGGCGGTCACGTATACCTCGCGCACAGTCTCTCCGGTTGCTCCCGCTTCCGCTGCGGCATGCTCTGTGATCTTTCGCAGTTTGCCAGCAGCGTCTGCGAGGTTGACGGCAGTGGGCCGGCTTGTCACGAGGTAGTCCAACTTTTCTGTAATGAAGACTTTGACTTCTTCGGGGACTGCAGCGAGCTTCATGTTTGTGAGTTCGACGGCGAGGGCGAGGGCAGCCACAATGGCGATGGCTGGCGCGCCCCGCGTGCGCATGTCTTTGATGGCATGCCAGGCGTCAGTGCTGGAGTAGATGTGGTCATATTCTTCGGCATGGGGGAGTTTCAGTTGGTCGAGGATTTGGAGCTGGCCCCGCTCGTACTTGATTGCCTGCAGCACCATTTTGGAAGGCTTGTGTTTTGCGCAGCAGAAAATTTGGCAATGGTGAGGTTGGGTTGGGTTGCAAGCAATTGCCCCCAACGTCCAAGTCCAACGTGGGACCCTGGCGCTACTAGCACCTGCACACCGGGCCGAGCGGTGCCTGGGCCGTCTCCAGGCAAGACGCTTGCTTCATATAAGCGTGCACCTGCAGTGCATAGGGATACTCGACGTACGTCGTTCTATAGCAGTGGTGTGGACAGGGCCGCTCTGCCTCGACATTGCGTCATCGCGACTCACCGCCGGCAGAAGGGCTTTCGGATGGCGGCACGTGAAAAGACCGAACTAGCCACGTGTGGCTGCAAGCCGAGGCTGGGCTTAGCCACAAAGGTGCTCAACTGCCGGCGACATTGGCCGCAGCCTTATGGTCAGCCAGACAGAGACGGGCCGCCGAGGCACTTGCACTTGCACTTGGATCGAGTAAGACGGGGAAAAAGGCAACGGTGAAAATGCAGTGGTGGTGGCAGCGTCGCGACCATGCGCGGGGAGGCGAAATTGTCTCAGCCCTACCTGAGCCACAAAGCAAAGCAGGGATCATGGCCGTCGGCAGCAGGCAAGGGGAGAGTGAATTCAACAAGACGCCAACGACGTGACGATGCCCGTATCCAGACTGGACGGCCCAAATCGCCCAGGGCCGAGCAGCCAGTCCTCACATCTCCCTTTCTCCTGTGCACCTCCGCGCCGCTCTGCACATACTTATTACCGCTGCATGCCTAGTCCTCTCCTTTTGGCCACCAGCCGTTCGCCTCATCTGCACTGTGCTATCCAATCCTTGACACTTTCGGCAACCACGCCCGTCCCTGCTTGTCCCGATAGGCGGAGAAAAAGACCCACTGCCTCGACTGCCCGCACGCCCAACACCACAAGAAGAGGGCATCGCCCCAGCCAGAGACATTTCCTGAGCACATGCGACGACCGGCCAATCGCCTTAGCTTGACGCGCCTCACAAGACCCTCGTAGTCCAGATCCGGTACCAAACAAACCGTCACGTCTCGACCGCAGCCCCGCCCAACCTTGCGCCAAACTTATATACCGCTGCCCCTCATGCCGCGCTCCAAGTCGAGTGTTGGCGTCAGCTCCGCCGTCATGACTTCGCAGGAAGAGCCTGTTCAGCCCACCTACCGCGGCTATGGTACCTTTGCTGCACAGCGCCAGCGACGCCACTCATGGCACACGCGCCCTTGCATGCAGGAGGCCGAGAACTTCCAACTCTTGGTATGCACCACACCCAGCATATGGCAAATTGCCGCCTCCCAGAGTACTGACATGCAATGCCAGCTTTGTAACTTCCTGACCGAGCTCAACTGCCGCCTGGATTTTCTCGAAGACTACGGCCACCTCAAGTACGACGCTGGTGTCGAGTACGCATACAACACCCTCCTCGCGGTTCGCGAATCATGCTCCAAGATCTCCGATGGCGCAATCGAGGCAGGCCGGCGGCAGGCGTCCGTCTTCGTCGAGACGTTGGAAGAGCGGTACAAGGATGCGCTGGAGCGCAAGGAGACGCTAGGAGAGAAGGTCTTGGAGGGAATAGTACTCATGGACAGCTACCTGACCGAGTTTGAGACGCGCGCATACACGCTTGGAAACGGGTCTCTTGGGACCTATGCGCACGACTTTTACGAAGAAGGTCTGAGGAAAATGGACGAGGGCATCGAAATCGCAAAGGGGGTCGTTGACGGAGGTCTGGACAAGGCGCGGAGGGCCCGCGAAACCATTGAGCTTCGTGTCGAACACGCTGTGCAGCGAGCGCTTGCACGAGCCAAGGCAAACGGCCTGATACACTACGACGACCTGCCGGAGCCATGGCGGGTGAACCCCCACATCCTCAAAGGCTACCGATTCCAAGAGGGCAAGTGGGCCTGTGTGCGATCCATCTTCGGCCTCCACAACGAGCTCATCAACATCTGGACCCATCTTCTCGGTTTCGTCATGGTGCTCGCCATTGCCTTTTACTTTTACCCGTCGAGCACAAACTTCAGCATGTCGACGAATGCCGACATTTTCATCGCTGCCGTCTTCTTCTTTGCAGCATGCAAGTGCCTGGCTTGCTCGACCATCTGGCACACGATGAACAGCATTTCGCACCAGACACTGCTCGAGCGCTTTGCCTGCGTAGACTACACGGGCATCTCGCTCCTCGTCGCAGCGTCCATCATGACGACCGAGTATGCCGCCTTTTACTGCGAGCCCGTCTCACGCTGGTCATACATGTGCATAACAGCACTGCTCGGCATCGGCGGTGTCATCCTCCCCTGGCACCCAACCTTCAACCGCGCCGACATGGCTTGGCTGCGCGTCGTCTTCTACTGCTCTCTCGCTCTGACTGGCTTCCTTCCCTTTGGCCAGCTTGCATACACGCGCGGCATCGAGTGGGCGCAGTACTTTTACGCGCCCATCACAAAGAGTCTCCTTGTATACGTGACTGGCGCGTGCCTGTACGCGAGCAAGACGCCCGAGCGCTTCTTCCCTGGCTTCTTCGACTACGTGGGCTGCTCACACAACATCTGGCATGTTGCTGTGCTGGGAGGTATCATCTTCCACTACAAGGCCATGCAGGCCATGTTCACCCAGGCTCTTACCAGGGCACAGACGAGTTGCTCTGTGTACTAGTAGTAGAGGAGTGTGGGGTATTTGCTTCTTTCGTCCCCCTTCCCCCTTCTTTCTCTTGACCACCTTTTTTTCCCTTCACCTCGTTGCTCTTCCCCCCTGCTTCTCCTTTGTCCTCCCCTATCGTCCCGTCTCCTTTGTTTTCATCTCGAGCGTTCGGCATTGTTGAGCGAAGCATATTGCATTTGCATAAGGCTGGTTGGTGGTAGTAGCCGGCCCCATAGACTCTTCACACGCATTGTACACCGAAGCTTCCCCAATTCGGTAGGTTTAGAAATACTTGCTAGAGAAGCACTATTGGCGCGAACTCGCCGTGTCTGGATTTATCAAGTCGAGGGAAAGTGGCATGGCATAAGGAAATGTCGACTTGTGGCTCGTATTCTACCTGGTCCAAATATCATCATCTCAACAACAAACGTATACAAACATACTTTTATGAAGAAGCCATTTTGATTGCGTTTTGTTGACTTCACAGTCAGCCATATACTCAAGTCTGAAATCCCCACTCCTAAACGCCTTGCGCTATGCATAAAATTGCAGATTTTCCTGAAAGAAACCCCAGCTTTTTGTTTCTTTCTTTCTTTTTCTCTTTACATCATGGCGTTAATGGCTGTCAGGCACATCGGGCAACCTCTCGATAACATACTTGCCCTTTGCAACACTAACAATAGGCACACCAGGAATCTTCCTTATCCTCCTCTTGAGATCGCGATCGTTTGTAGCGACAAGATAGATTCTGTGTTTCTGGACGCGGTCGACGATGCAGTCATCGGCATAGGTGCCCTTGTGGTCGCACTTGAGGCGCTGCCAGCGCTCGTCGCGGGCAATGCGCAGGGCAATGCGGTACTTTGGGCCGAGCTTCTCCAGCTCGGCCATGACGCACGTGGTGATGATGGGCGTGGCTTTGGCGTATAGCAGGTCCATGAGCGCCTTGTCGAGCTCCAGCTTGGCGTGCACCGTGTGCGACAGGAAGTTTGTGTCGACGAGCACCGAGTAGGGCGGGCCGAGGGCCGTGTTGGCCTGGAAGAAGAGCGCAGACGAGACTTGCGGACTGCGAGTGCTTGCGTTAGCTGTGCTCTGCAGGTCGACCTGCTATGGGCGGGGGTGTTGTTGGAAACAGAGACTTACATTTCTCGCTTTGCTTTGTTCTCTTCCTCTTTCTTCTTGGCTTCTGTCTCGCCGGCCATCTGGTTCTTCTTTCTGCAGTGCGGTGTTAGTGTGTCTGTGACGGCGGAGGAAGAGGAGGGGTGGCGGAGCGCCGTGTCGCATACAGTCTTGCATCGCGCTGGCCTGGCAGCAGTTTAGCACAAGTATATTTTTGCTCTATGCGATGAGTTTCTGCATACCGATTATTCTCTTGGTCGTCGCAAACTTGCGAGTCCTCTTCGCGACACCCATGGTTGCGCCGGGTGTATCTGCTGTTTCCGTGGGCTGGCCAAGGCGCGCACGACTTCGATTTGAAGAAACTGAACTTGTTCCCCTCCGTCTTTGTCGAGCGGTATGCGTAGTCTCTGGCGGTGCGCAGGGCTGTGGGGTGGGCAGTGTGACGGCGGTGCTGCAGACGGCGACTGCTAGCGCGGCTCCCAGCTTTTTGATGCCAAGAGTCTGGCGCGGTCGGAACGGATTCGGAACGCTCGGAACAGCAGCCAATGAGGGGTGGGTGTGGCGCTGCTGGACGCAATCCGCCACTAAGCCCTAACAACGGGCGCAGGCAGCAAGTCAGGCATGCACATGCGCAGGGCCCCCCGAATTAGCAGCAGCAGCCGTTCCTGGCTGCTGGCGCCATCTGTCACGATGCCGTGCATGTCCTGTTGTTCTTGTCCCGCACCCCGGGTCCAGCACCAGCAACAGGAGGGTTTAATTGACGCCAGCACACACACACACACACATACATATGTAGACGCCTCAATACACCCCACACCGCATGCCATTGGACAACTACACGGCAGAGAGAACAAGAGGGGCGCGCCACGGCCGCCGCCCTGCATCACCATCGATAGTGTGCTTTGCAAACAATCACGCGAATCCAACGCTCAGACGGCGCTTTGCCCCCGCGGGTCCTCTAGGCTGCCCCCCCTGGTCACGACCCCGTATTCTAGCCCGACCGCCCTGCCAGCTGCCCTGCCAGCAACCTTGCGCACACAGTCCTCTCTCTGTGTCCTCCCCTCACTCGTTTTCGGCGCTTCTCCATCCTATCGATACCAGCCTGCGGCTCTCTTCATGTCCTTGTCCTTGTCCTGCCGTGCTACATTCTCGCCGTCGACCGCTTGCTGAAACGCTGCTGTTTGATTGCCGAGGCCTTTGATTCGCGCAGGGTCTCCTGAGGCCTCTCTCCACCCTTTCCGCCTGCGGGCCTCGCGCACTGCATACGCTGTACCACGTCCCAAGATGCGTCCTTCGGTAGGCCTCGTGGGCCTGTTGCTCGTCGCCGCTCCCGCCGTACTCGCCCAGGCTCAGAACCCTCCCAACCAGCCTCGGCCAGATGGAACAACCACGTCGACCACTCAGCCCGTGCAGCCTGCCACAACAACGTCGGAAAAGACGACACAGCCAGCGACAGACCCGCCCAAACCAACACAACCCGCCACTTCCGAGACTAGCACTTCTGCGACGACGACAGTTGCCCAGACAGGCTCGACCAGTGTCTTCAATCTTGCCGGCGCTCCCACACTTGCCGGTGTTGGTGTTCCTGTCCAGCAGGTGCCAAACACCGCCGGAGCGCCTTTTATGCAAAAGTCGAATCTCCCCGACGGAACCGTCTTCATCTGTGTCGGCGCCGTCCTCGCCTTCTTCGGTGCGGCTCTGCTGGTATGGCGTGCTCTCGTTGCGTGGTCGCTGCATCGTTCGGTCAAGCGCGCAGCCATGACGCAAAACATGACTGATATCAAGACCATGGCCGCCATGCCTACCGGCAAGCGAGGCATGTACAATGTCGTGGGCGCAAACTCCACCATGTCTCTGGATCGTTTGAATGGCGCGCCAGTTGGCAGGTCTGTAAAGCCCTCCGCGGCGGCGGCCGGCAATGGACCGCAAAGGCCGCTGTCTTCCCTCTTCTTTTCGCCCACGGCCGGTGGTGCGGCTGGCATGCGGGATTCCATGGTAAACCGCTCTTCGACCTACCTTCCTGCCGGATACTATGCCGCTGGTAGCTCGGTGGCTGCATCCGGATCGCCCCAAACGCACATAGGCGGCCAACCACACCACAACATATCTGCGCTGTCGCTGTCGTCGCCGGGAAACCGCTTCAGCACGCGGTCCGGTGTTTCGCCACCAGAATCGCCTTCGCTACCGCCCTCACGTGGAGGATACCCCCGGCCGCCGCCATCCCGAGAAGGCCTATCCGTGTACAACCGCAACAGCATGGCAACCCTCAACACACCAGGAAACACACGAAGCGGTGTATTTGGCCAGGACAACAACGTGAGCCAGCTATCGCTCAACGTACCGGGCGGCACAAATGTTCCTGGAGGCCGCACGCCTAGCGGATACCTAGACGACTTGTTCGAAAACCACGGCACCGGAAACGGCGGAAATGCTCGATTCTAGTTGGACATGGAGCAGCAGCCGCATCCGACACAGACAGAGCGTGTTGGATAATGGCAAAGGGTGTGGTTGTGATGCCCCCAAAAAAATGCGTTCATCAAACGTGTCGTTGTCGTCTCTTCATTTTTTTTTTTGCTTACGTGTGACGCCAAGCGTGGAGCTCTCCCTTTCTCTCTCCCTCTCTCTCTCGACTTCGCAGGACCTCTTTTCTCCCTTCTCTTTTCCCGACACAAATAGTCGACTATACCATTGCGCGTGTGCTGCTGTTGGGGGTGTGAAACAGAAACCAAAAAAAAGGAAGAGGGAGAAATGCAGGAGAGAAAGTGGAGAAACGAGCAAAGTTAAGGGTGAGAGTAAGAGCGGCACAGTGAGACACTGTGCGAGAGAAAAGAGACCGAGAAAGTGGCTGAGCGGCAACAAGGGGGGGGGGGTCCAAAAAAAGAAAAAAGATATGGGAAACTCTAATTCAAAACAAAAGCTGGGAAAAGAAAAAAAAAGGGAAAATCTCACTACTGCTCCCCTTTTCGCTTCAACACTTTCTCTCACGCTAGAAGACTCGATGTAATATTGTTGTTTTTGTTGGGGTCCTTGTCACACACACACACACCCTGCCTGTCTGTCTGCTTGCCTGCTTGCTTGCTATTCATAACCTTGACATTGTTTGTAGTATAATTCCCCCCCACACCGCAAAGTTTGTTTGTTTTTTTCATGTTAGTAGTTGTTTTGTCGTTTGTTGTTTGTCGTTTGTCGTTTTGCACCTTGTCTCCCCCACAAGTCGTGTACCTCGTTCGCGTATTCGTGATACCTTTTTGCTTGTAATTATTCGGTCTTTTCTTCTTTGCTTTCTTGCAGCCTTTTTTTGGCTTCTTCGCTTCTAGGTAAGACATCCTCCCTGCACTGCTTATCTATGTATGTATGTATGGATGGATGGATGGATGTGTTTGGTTGAGTGAGTGAGTGAGTGAGTGATTGCTTGCATGTACATGAGGAGGAAAAGAAAAAGGAATATTTGTTGAACAAGGGTGGGGAAGGCGATGCGTTCGTTTCTTCAGGTGGCTATGTATGTATGTATGTATGTATGTTGGATATGCAGCTATAATATTTGTAATGCGGGAAGCGGTGGGGTATTGTAGGGTAAGTATAGTAAGCTAGATTGACCTGTTGGAGCAAAATTGTGAATATGGCATATAGAATATGCTTTGAATTACTACCACATGCATTGGAACATGTTGAAACGAAAGTGAACACGTCTTTTTCTTCTTGGTCTATCGTCATATCATACATGCGCCTTCCACACGTTGATACCCATCACATTCTTTTTTTTGATCTACCACGCATCAAGCATAGATCCAAAAACATTTTTTGTCATGTACCCAACATAACACGTGCTGCTCTGCGGAACGCATTTGACTATCTATCTTGCCTTCCTGGCAATGGCTTTGCGCTTCCTGGCCTCGCCGTTGAGGTTGGAGGCCGTAGCACTGCGAATGGCGGCTTCATCCTCAGGAAGACCAGACGAGTCAAGCAGGGGCTCATCGACCAGTTGCTTCTTGCCAAGGACACGTCCAACAGACTGGTTGTAGGCAAACTTGGGGAGCTTGAACAGGAGAGTGTCGTAGATGGTAGGCTTGGGCTCCTCGTTAGGCTAGGTACTGTTAGTCTGTGTACCATTGAAATCACTCAAGGGATTTTACGTACGTCAATCAAGAACTCGCCCTTTTGACCGTCCTCGGTCTCGTGCTCCAAGAAGACATTGCCGACAGAGTCGACGACCAGAATCTTACCATTCTCAGCAACAATGCGCTTCTTGGCTCCCTGGGGACCCGAAACAACCTCTGGCTCAGCAGGAGCACTGATACCATCGGTGCGCGCCTTCTTTGTAGCTTGGACCTTCTTGGGCTTGCGAGCATCCTTCTCCATGGCGCGCCTCTCACGGCGGTTTCGGGGAATTTGCTCATCTGGAGTATCATCGGGGGACTCAGTGCTCTCGAATTGCTGGGCGTTGACGGGCGCAGGGGTGTCATCAATCCCGGGGATACCCTGGAGGCCAGTCTCGTCACCCCAGGCAGTTTTGCGTGCCTGTCGAATGTATCTCTCTGCAAACTCCCTGCGGCGCTTCCAGCCCATGACAAGTGCAAAGTAGTGGAAACCACCACCAATGACGGTGAGAAGACCAATGATGACGGAACCAAGACCAGGACGGAAGCGGTCGTAGTAGTAGCCAGAGCCCTTCCATGCAGGAAAGCCGTTCCTCAAGAAGTGATCGTAGCGCTCGCGCTCAGGGCCCTGGAGCATCTTGGCGACGACGGACAGCCGCTGGTAGGCGGCCGTGACCTTTTGCACATGGGCTTCAATCTCCCTGTTGGAGGGCTGCTTGCCGACCGAGGTTCCCTTCTTCTTGTTATTCTTGGCATAGTTGGCAACAAAGATCTGGCGGGCCTTGTCGGGATGGAGGTCGCGCGACTTCTTGCGGAAAGCCTTGGTCAACTGGTCTTGGGACGCGCTGGGCTTGACGCCGAGGAGGTCGTAGAAGGTGATGTTTTGGCCTTCGGACTTGATCACCTCGTCGCGGAGACGGAAGATTTCATGATCTGGTGTAAGCTGTCAGCAAAGCAGGCCGTAGTGAATTGCAGTTGTGCATCAGGGCGACAAGTCGCAAATGTGGCCACAAGCGGACACTTGAAGCACAGTGCGATTGCATAGATGGGATTACGCACCCTCTTTTGTCCAAGCAGCGGCAAAGGCTGCAAAGATGCACAGGACCAGCGCAAGCAGCGCGTGAGATCTCATGGCTGTGCTGGGAAAGTTGGCGGTCGGACTGGTCGCGGGTGATAGGGGAGGCTGCCGGCGTGTGCAGCCAGAAGTTGAGTAAGTGCGGTACGCCCGCTGAAAAAAAAGGAATGTGGCCCAACCACTCACTGCCCGCTGTGAAGGAAAGACAATTGGGTAGCAGCTGTTGGCTTGAAGAGGATGGAAGAGCAAAGTTCCCGGGGCGCTGCTGTCTCGAGAAACATAGCTACTACAAAAGTCAAGGTGGCCTCGGCATGGCCCAATCAGAGAGGCGCCGCTAAGGAGCAAGGGGCGCTGGCACTGGTGGAGGCGTGGGTGCGTGTGGGTGGCTTGCGAGAAAGGCAGTGGCAGAGCAGCGCGACCCTGAGCACCGCCTGAGCCACGGGATTCGCGGCAGGGGGGGGGGGTGACCAACAAAAGTTCCCCATGCTAGGCAACGACACGCAACCCTCCCTCCTCCACGACCCTCTTCCTTCAATCCACCCTCCTTTCAGCCGCGTCAGCGTCTACAATCCTTTGCGCCCGTTTTGCATCCGGTAAGGCAGTCATCCGCTACTTAATACCCCCGCCCTCCGCCTCCTGCCGTGAGGACACATTTCCAGCCCAGCGTCTTACACAGACTATATATCAGCAGCAACCGCAGCAGCAGCAGCAGCAGCAGCTAATAATGACCTCGCCCGCAGATCTCCAGGCCCAGCGACAGACTCTCATTACCCCCGACCACGTCCAGCAGACACCGCCATCCGACCCGCAGCCACCCCCTAGCTACACATCCGTCATGTCGCGCTTCAGCATCCCCATCGATGCGCTCACGTCGAGAATGAACTTTGGCGGCCGCTTCGACAGTCTGCGCTCCACGTCGGTGTCGTCGCGCTTCGCCAACCTGCGACCCGTCAGCGAGTTTTTCGATGTCAAGCGCATCTCGAAGCCTGCCAATTTCGGCGAAGTGCAGAGCCGAGTCAACTACAACCTGGGCTACTTCTCGAGCAACTATGCCGCCGTGTTCGTCATGCTCAGCATCTACAGCCTGCTCACCAACCTGATGCTCCTTTTTGTCATCTGCCTGGTGGTGGGAGGTATGTATGGAATTGGCAAGCTCGAGGGCAATGATCTCGAGATTGGCAGCTGGCGTGCGACGACGTCTCAAATGTACACCACACTGTTTGTCATTGCCGTTCCTCTGGGTCTTTGGGCGTCGCCCTTTACGACGGTTCTCTGGCTCATCGGCGCCACTGGCGTGACTGTGGTTGGCCATGCCGCATTCATGGACAAGCCCATCGAGTCAGCTTTTTCCGAGGAGGCGGTCTAAGTGGTCGGCCGCGAACTCCTTACACTATGCCCCAGTGGGGAAGACCACCAGGGGGCTCGTCGGGTGTGGGGAGATACTACGAGGGGGTGGTCGACGATGTGTATAGATTTCAAGATTTGGGGAGCGACGAGGAGGAGCTGGACGGTGTTGTAATAGACGGGGTGCTTCAACCGGCTTTGAATGGCAAGAGGATCAATCCAGACGAGCTTTACTTTAATGATATGGATATTAGGGCGTGGGAGAGCAGGACATCGGCGTTGGAGGAGCCTACCCATGGGCGTGTGCATGGCCGTCGAGGCTATCAAGAAGAGCACTTTGGCGGGGCGGGCAACACGATACCGTCTGCGGAAACCGAGGAAAGGCTTTTCCAGCGGGTGCTTGACAAGATCCGGGTAGCAAGAGCAGCAGGGAATACAGATGTTTCACTCAGTGCAGAAGAACTCGACGCATATCAATCACGGCTTTACGGTGCACGAGCCTCTGCGGTACGTCCCGAGCCGGAGCCTCGACCTACCAGTGTCAGTGTCAGTGCCAGTACCAGTGCCAGTGCCTCAGTGCCCAATGATACTGCTAGTGTCATGAGTTATGAGACGACTGGGAAGCATGGTGCTTCTTCGTCGCGCTCCAAGAAGAGCCAGCCACGAACGTCGATGTTCGGCTCCAAGGCCAAGAAAGAAAGGCGACATAGTGGCCACCGACGCACGTCGACCAACTCGACGACGGAGAGTCACGCACTAGCACCTGGCTTTGTTGTTCCTGGTGCAGATGGACAAGGCATTTATGCACCGATTAATGCATACGAGGGAAGCCTGGCCCGCGACCAGAGGCCTCTGCGTGCAGCATCCCGTCGGGCGTCTGACACAAGCCACCATGCAGCAGCGGCTCCGAATGACACCTCTCCAAGAAACATGCTCGGTTCGTTTCCGGAGTCAGAGTACGATTATGGGCCTTCAACGCCTGCATGGGAGGAGCAGAAGTCAGTGTCTCGACCATCTGTCGACTCGGCCAGTGTCCCACTTGGGTCTCGCAGTGGGCCACCGTCGATAGCATCGTCACGTCTCGTGCCCTTTCCGGTGGAGCCTTATCAGTACCACCAGTTCAGCACGTCCTCTTCCTCGCTATCACCCACTTCGCCGCAACCACAGTACACTCGCAGAATGAGCTTGAGCCCGTCAGAAGCCAGCTATACGTCGGTACCACGACGCATCCCTGCAGCATCCCCAGGATATCCGCCGGTGCCGGTGCCGTTGCAGCGAGTGACAGATGGCGGGACTGGGCAGGGCCGAGCGAGCGACCCGCCTCTGGGCACGCAGTCATATGGCGCCGGGGTGCCAGTGCAAGGACAGCAAAGTGCAACGGGCAGTGGAAGTGGACGCGGAGGAGAGAAGAGGCGCTCAGGAGGGAAAGGCAGGAAGACGGGTTGACGGTCTGGTGGAGCATGGCGTCGTCGAGACGAGCAGCGGCCGGTGGACGACTTCTCCAAGTGGCATGTTGGGTCCAATGGTGGCCATGATGGGCGGTGTTTCGCCTCACCTCGCTAGCCCCGTTTTCGGATGCGGCTAGCGGCGACGACGGACTACGCCTACACCTACAGCGATGGTGAGCCCTGTGTACCGGCAGGCTGGCCGGGCGGGCGGTTGCAACAAGGACTGGACTAGACAAGGACGGCGGGCGGGCGGGACGAGGGAGTGGCACGGGGGCCAGCAACGGGGCTCTACTTATTTTTCGCACGGTTGGGGTAGAGGGAAGGGCTACTGTATAGCACCTGATAGTGTGTGCTCTGAGTCTGCTCTGGCCAGCTGGAAGATATGCGCGCGAACTTGTGGAGTCCAGGATTGATCGGCCGGCCCTCGCAGCACGCTTGCAAAGACTAGCTGACCGCTCTTTGGCGACGTATGCCGGCCCCCCTGCAGGTACATGGCAGGTACATGGCAGGTACATGGCAGGTACATGGCAGGTACATGGCAGGTACATGGCAGGTACATGGCGTCTGTACCCGCGCCACCTCTCCCCCGCCGCGCCCGCTGGCGACTTGTGCCGCCGACTTGTGCACTTGCAGGCGTGCGTGAACCGCTGTGCAAGACCCGCCGCGCCGCCCTCGCCCACCACGACGCCGCTGCGACGCTCAGAACACACCTCTCCCCGTGCCAATCGCCCGCCATTTCGCCATCCTCGTGCAGCCCGGTGCGGCTCACGCACACGATGCCCTTGTGCAGCCGTCCCTTGTGCACGCGCACACACACGCATCCCTGTGCCGCCGCTGCGTCAACATGGCAGAAGAGACGTTCGAGACCAACCGTTGCAGACGCACCTTACGCAGCAATGCCATCCAACAAAACATGCATGGGCCTGCATGGAGCTCTCTTGCATGCCGCCTTTGCCCTCTTGAGCCGTCTCGGCCTCCCGTTTCACCCTCTCCTCGCATGACGGCCCCGGACAGCACACAGCCTGTGGAGAAAATCAATCATATACTCAGCTATCATGACAGCAGCGACACCGCGGGCCCACTACATACGTGGCCGCTATCGAGGCCAATGTATACCAACGCAATGGCTCATGGCAGAGCCGCCAGCAGTTGGGCCCCCAGACACACACGAGGCGGCAAACACACACCGCGCAAGAGAGAGAAAAAAAAATCATTCGCACCCAGAGCACACGCCGCGCAAAGAGACGGGAATGCCCGATTGAGGCCCAAAAGCGACCCACGTCAGTGCTCACCGGCGCCCGTCATATACCTCTCGACACTCGGCGCGCCTATTGCTGCGTTTCGAGTGCTCCCTTTCAACACACAACAGCCACATAGACAAGCAAACAGTCATACTTGCAGCAAACGTCACCATCCCCACCCGCACTCTCCTTTGCCCTTGAATGCGCTGGGCCGACAAGTACACTCTCCACCACCGCATCCCGCCCTCGGTAGCTCGCGCCCACGCCTCTAAACAGGACCCGGCATCACCAAGCAGAACGCCACTGACTACCTATCTGCACCCCAAACCAACGCTACTCCTCGCACCCGCTCCCTCTGTCTGCGCCTCGCCGCTGCACCGCCATCCCAACTCTCAACACCATCACCAAGCTCGTCGCCACCACTACCAACCCTCCACCATGGGCAACAGCTGGAACCCCTTTTCCACCTCGCCCAGCCGGCGCTCCTCGACCTACCGCCCCGGCTATGCCTCGTCGTCGTACTCGTCGTCGTCGCGCCACCACAGCTCCACCTCGCGCTACAAGCGCTCGCCCCGCGACAGCTACATGCAGCACCTGTACAAGAAGCTGCAGCACTTTTTGCGCGAAATCTGGCGCTACGCCCAGCGCCACCCCTACAAGGTCTTCTTCATGATCATCATGCCCCTCGTCTCGGGCGGCGTCCTGCACAAGCTCGCCCGCCAGTTCGGCGTCAACCTGCCCCAAACCGGCGGCGGCTCACACCCTGCTGCCAAAAGCGGCTCTCACGCCGGCGGATACTACGGCAGCCAGGGCTACGGCCGCGAAACTGCCTACACAAGTAGTCGGAGCACCGCAAACTCAAACTACAGGAACAACAACAACAATGCCAACAATGGCGGCGGCATGATGTCTGGTCTGGCAAACATCGACATGGACAAAGTCGCCGGCGGCATTGGCGGCCTGGCTACCATAGCGAGTATGGCGTCAAAATTCATGTAACCGCTTTTTTTTATCACGCTCGTGATGGGTTGACGTATTGCCCTCTAGGAACTGCTGAGAATCTCTTTACTATTGCCAGGGTCGTGGGCAATTTTTCCAGAGGCGGCTTGGAGGCCATATGACGTTGCTCACTCATCTGAAAGAGCTTGGATTGTTTTTTTTTCAGAGGGTTTTCGTTGGTGTGGAAACAGCCCTGTGTTGAAGAATATGGATTACGTGTTTCTTTGTTTGGCTTGCTTCGTCAAATAAAGCACACACACACCCTCACACTCACATAAAGACACACATGCTTGGTACGACTTACGATGGATAAACGACCTGGGAGGGTTGGAATAGTGTACTAGCACTGTGGGGGGAGCGGGAGAATCAAGGTCTACCCTTGCTTCCCTCCCCTCCCTCTCTTTTTGTTCTTTTTTTTCTTGTCTTTCTTTTTCACAGTAATTCCCTCTACAGTTTCTGTTCTTTTCTTTTCTTTTTTCTGAAACTAGCTTAGAGATATCCCCGCTTTGCCCTTGATAGGTACCCATATACATATTATATGTATGTATGAAAGTAAACTGTTTGTTGGTATACATACATATATACATACATACATGCATCTACACCGGCGCCCTTAGGCGCATGTTGACCCAAAAAAAACATATCCTTATTGATTCAACAATTTTGCAATCTACACCGTCATCACGATTATGATTATGATTGTGAGTCTGCAACCGAGGACGAGTCAAACGCAGTTTTTTTTGGCGCCGTGCGTGCGTGCGTAATGCAGAGGAGTGGAGAACCTTCCCCCCTCCCCCCCCCCATAAAAAAAGAAAAGACAGAAAATAGTATGATTTTTTTTTCCTCTCCGCTACTTTCTTCCCCACCGCCTGGTAAGTAGCCGTTGATTGTTACGTGTAGTGCTTCTTGCCATTCTACTACCACATTCTTCCATCCAGCGGTTCCAGCTACTTTCCCAGCATTACAACATGGCCACATAGTAATTAATCTGTCAACATGCTGTTCTAAACCCTCTTTCCTGCAAACAGATTGCCAAGAGCACGTGTTGGTGCAAATCCACAAATTTCATGCTCTGAGAGAGAGAGAGAGAGAGAGGGAGAGAGAGATTACAACATGATTCATCCAAACACATCGGCTCAACACATACTCCTTCCTCCCTCAGCTGCGTATATAGAATACCCTGTCTACATTGACTACTACCCTGTGAAATGAATCCGCTATACCAGCCACATCAAAATCACCCATACAACAAATAAACCCAAATCAAAATTCCACAAGAAGAAAAAGGTCCAAAAGCCACTTCTCCAGGAAATCCAACATGGTCATCATTGTGTAATCATCACGAGACATGATACACACCTAACTTTGCTTACTCGGCACATACAAAAGATGCTCATCCAACCCTTAGGCAGTCACCACATTCGCAAACACCTTTGCCGCAAGACTACTCAGCAACCTAGCCTTATCCGCCTGCGGCATCTCCTGGAACACAGTGTACACGCTCTTGCCCTTTGCATCTCTCACCGCACCAAGCCGATTGCCCGCCACAGCGCCCGCCACCAAACCGGGGAAATTCGCCACAATGAAGCCCATGGCGCCGCCGCTCAAGCCGCCGACCAAGCTCCAGAACTTGCCTGTGGGGTGGGCCTCGGAGTCGGCCATGCCCTCTTCACGCAGCATCTCCTCGAAGATGCCGCCAAACTGCTCTTCCGAGAAGCGGTTGTGCGATTCTTCAGTCGTGCCCGCTGGCGCGCTGCCAAAGCCAAAGGCGGACCATGGGAAGCCTTGTGCGAAGCCTCCTCCTCCCCCTCCTGCTGCTCCGCCATTGCCCGCCGTGTCAGCGTTATTCGGAATCTCCTCGTCAAAGTCGGCGTCGGGCGTCGCCGTCGTGCCCGTGAAGCTGTTGTATGTGCGTGTGGCGTCGTAGTCGCGGCGCCGCGTGGGGTCAGATAGAGTGTAGTATGCGTCGTTGATCTGCTGGAAGCGCTTGGTGCGGCTTGCGCGCTCAGGTGAGTCCGACGGCACACGGTCGGGATGGTGTTTTAGGGCTGCTCTGAACAACGCACATGTGTTAGAGTGCTGCCTTCTCGTGCTTTTGTTCGGCGGGCCAGGCAACCTCACTTTTTGTACGCATCGCGGATTTGCTGTTGTGAGGCTTTGACGTCGATTTCGAGCACCTTGTCTATGTCGCGGCGTGAGTTTCATGTCGTGTGTACGAGCTACATACGTGCTTACAGTAGTCTACTGATGCTGTGTAGTGTTAGCTACAAGTCGGGCTGCTAGGCTGCCATGATCTTACCCATGATGTTGGTTACCCCGACGAATATGAAATCTCAGGGTAGGAACGATGTAAGACTGGTTGTAAGGTAATATCGAGTAAGGCGTCTGGTAGATTTCTGGTTATGTAGGGCGGGAGATGGTCAGTCGAGATGTGCAATGCCCGTCTAAGATCAGGCACGCGGCTTCGGACCAATGACGTAGACGCGAACGTCGACCACGCTTGCACGTGAAGGCAAACTTGCATTACCGCACAGACTGTAGAGAATAAGCCCATGTTATTAGGTTTTTGGATTAATGCTAGTATAATTCAGCGAGAAGAATAAATGAAATGAAACGAATCGAACATGTGGCGCAAAAGGCTATGGACAGGGTACCGCATCCACAATCACCAGCTTGACAAAGACGCGCACTCTATGGACAGCACACATCGACACACACAGTCGCCTTCTGATGTACAGACTGAGTGGATGAGATGGCAATTATCATCCTAGTGATGCGGCGCAACTCCTATCCAGGTATCATACAACAAGCCTGTCCCCCAATCCTAGCAGCACAATTTTCCTTGACCGCTCATTTGATGTATCCAAGGCTAACCGCTCGCGGGATGAGAACGAAAGACAAACTCCAATCGCTCATACAAGTAACGTGATTCGGCGAGAAAACTTCAACGTCTGAAACTAGCACTCAGGCCTGAAAAGGCATCAGGCGAATGGCGTCCACCCATTAACCCAGAGAAATCCACACTCTCGTTGCTGACGTGTCTCACTCCCGGGCTGTGTACAGCTGACAGTGGCTGACCTTGAGGCGCAGCAGACATGCCACCAAATGGATTCGACTGGGGTACCTGTGCAGCAGGTGCAGATGTTTGCACAGCTGTCGGCTGGGCTGGTTGCTGTTCCGTTTGGCGCGATGCCGTCTGCGGCTGATTGTACAGGGAGAGAATGGAAGCGTTCTTGTCGAAGGGGTTGGAGCTTTGTTGCTGGTATAGCAGCTGTTGATTCTGGAAGTTTTGCTGTTGCGTCTGGTGGTTTTGGAGCGGATTCTGGGCTTGATAGCCGACTTGGCTCTGCCAGGGGTTTACTTGAGGGGCTGGAACTTGGTTTTGTTGTTGCAATGGCTGTTGCTGTTGCTGTTGCTGTTGCTGCTGCTGGGGCGGCTGTTGTTGCTGAGACCACGGATTAGGCATTTGCTGTTGAGACAGGGTTGGCTGCGGCTGCGTTGAAAATTGCTGGAACGGCGTTTGCCCGAAAGGGTTCGAGCTTGTGACTTCGGTTGTTGCAAATGTCTGGCTCCGAGATGATTTGAGGAAGGGGTTTCCTGGACTTGTAGGATTGGACATGGACTGATACTGTTGTTGCGCTTGTGGCTGCGGCTGCGACGGCGCGAAAAAGGCGTTGTATTGCTCAGGTATCTGTGGCATAGGAGGCGGCGTGAAAGATTGGTGATACGGGTTCGTTTGAGCGTATGAAGGTTGCGATTGTGCGTAGCCGCCCGTTCGGTTCGGAAATAGAGGTTGAGTCTGCTGGTTCGAGATTTGCATACCCTGAAAGGATTGTTCAAGACTTTGCTGTTGCTGATCCCAAGGGTTCTGCTGGTAGCCGAAGTTTGGCTGTGGCTGTTGTGGCTGTTGCTGTTGTCGAGGGACTTGTTGAGCATAACCCTGGGGTGTTTGCGATAAGAATGGATTGTAGGAATTCGAGAGATATGGCTGCTGTGCTTGGCCTCCTCCATAAGGCGTCTGCTGGGGTTGAAACGAGGTAGGCTGAAACTGTTGCTGTTGCTGCTGCTGCTGCTGGGAATGCGCCTGTGCGTCCAAAGCATCAAAGGGATTCGTAGACGATGAGCCGGCAGGTGCGGTGCTGGGCGCGGTGAAAGAAATGCCGTTGGCCTCAGACTTGGCGGGCGGAGTTGGTGTACTTCCTCTTGATTTGACAGGATTCTGCTCACCCAGGCGGATCAAGGCCTCGACTGCTCGGTCCAGATTTCCGTTGAGTCCCTTCAATACTGTAGCGTTACGCTTGTCGTCTGGAAAGCCCATATCTCGGAGTGTCTGTAGCTTCTGGTCCATGCCGTCGCCTGATGTATATACGTTGGAGCCAAACACCCTCGAGGCCTTGTTCACGCGGGGCGGTGAGATGTCTTGACGAAACTCGTCAAGGCCCGGAGATATAGGAGGCGTTATGTTGCGCGGCGAGGTCGCGGCTTTGCGCAGGCCAAATCCAAAGCGAGTCGGCTTTGGCGGTAGTGGCGGCGGGCGGTCTTCTGAGCTGGTGCTGCCCGTGTTCTGTCGTGTACCCGGTCTCGAATCGTTCAGGTATATCCGTTGCTCGTATTTGGCGCGTATGTACCGTTCCATGGCACTGTCTACCTCGTCGATGTCGATGGGTATTTGCGGCTTGACGTTACGAGGGTTGTATGTCTTGTTGGACTCGATGTTCCCGATGCGCTTCATGTTCTACAGCATGCATCAGCCGTGGCGCGCCAGATGCCGGGCGTCGGGTGTCTTACATCGACTTGCGCATTATCCCACTTGTCCATGCTCAACGACTTGACCTTGGAGATGTGGGTGCCCAGCTTGCGATGCAGGGCTGCGCAGCGCATGCACAGGAAGATGCCCAGCTATAGCACGTGTCAGTGTCAGGCTCGCCGGCGGCGCATTGGCAACGGTTGGCAGGACGCGGGAAAACTCACACTCCAGCTTGCCCATCCTGCGCAGGCGTGGTCAGTACATGTCGGGCCACGGCGGGAGGAGGCCGGGGGCACATACCTGGATTCCGCGCGCCGCAGTCTGCGCATGTCCCGTTGCCGGGGACCGTCTTGATGAGCTCCTGCAGGGTGCGCTCATTACGCGCCTGCTGGCGTTTGTTCAGAGCCGACGCCATGGTGTTTGGGAGGAGGAGGCGGTTGGGTCGGGGATCGAGTCGGGGGATCGAGTCGGGAGCGGTTGGACGTGCACGGGAGCAAGAGCGCGGGGAGAAAGGGGGCCCGAGGACGGCAGGTGGCGCGTTGGGGGGGAGGTTATGGGAAAAAGCATGCGGCCATGGCAGGGCGAGAGACGGGCAAAGAAGGGGAAGGGTGAAGGTTTCCTAGTTCAAACATGATGACGAATAGCCCGGCTGTTCTAAGTACGGTATGTTCACACATGGCCTGGCATCCCGCAGAGCTCAGGAACCCTGCGTCTCGGCGCTTCGGCCCATCGACTCGACTCGACACGACGCCCACGCCCAATCTAAGTACGCCTGCTGCGCCCACGACGCCCACGCCAGCGCCCCTGTCTGAGCTTTCGCTCGCTACCTCTGCCCACGCGTGCTCTTCCGCGTCGTCATCGAGCCTGCGCCCGTAGCCGTGGGCGCACTGCCGGCGCGCTGTGGGCAGCCACCACGCTGACGAGCAGCTGGCTATCATGATTTCCGGGCTGCCCAGGCCGCCGAGGCCGCCCGCCCGCCATGCAACCACGTCTTGGGCAGAGAGCATCCTCATCTACCGCGAGATAGCTATGTATGGTCACGCAGGTGGCTTCAAGCACCATGGAATCGGGAGCAAAAAGCCTAAAAGTGCCGGGTTCTTCTGAGACGCAAATATGACAGCTATAGAGATGGGCAGCTCGGTATAGCCGTTGATTAATCGTCCGCTTGTTTGTATGATTGTGTGTGAGGAGAGAAGGCGAGCCAGAGCTGCAGCGAGATTGTCAACCGCCGACTGCCAAGCCCGCTGCTGACAAAGCCACGCCGGGGTCCGAGCGGGATAATTTTCACCACAAAACAAGCCCGCCCAACCTCGACGACTTCCACAACCACAACAGCTCCACGCACCGCTCCCAGCACGCGCTCACGCTCACGCTCACGCTCACGCTCACGCCCACGCCCAACGATTCATGTCTGTCGTTCTGCGGGTCGCTGGTGCGGTGCACGCTGGAGCTGTTCACCCACCATTGCCTGCTCCCAGGTTCATTTCTCTATGGCCTGGAAGCAACACTTTCTCTCGGTGGAAGATTGAAATTGGTTTTTAGCAGAGCCGTGTCTTCTCCACCCTACCCATTGCCGTCTTCGTAGATGTGTAGGACTATATTTGGACATACATGCATTCTTTCCCGACCGCATGTTGAGTTGTGTTGTGTGCTCGCGTCAGGCTGGCGAGCAGAGGAGCGCACCGACTCATGATAACGGTTGGAACAGCTGGAACAGGCAGAGTGGCCTGGACAGCGTAGCAGCTACCAGCGGTGCCCCGTTCAGCACGTCCATGGTCAGCAGCCAGGTTCTTCGGTCACCGTACAGTGTCGAGCGACCATCAGCCACAGCTGAAGGACACGAGGCTACATGAGGCTCCATGAAGCCGACGACGGCACCCTCGTCGGCAGAGCCCAAGAGCTCGCCGTGTTGCGAGTGCGAGTGCGAGTGGGCTGTCGGGCCGGAAGAAGCCGCTTTCGGCAATGCCAGATGGATCGAGTTAGGCGCCAACGAGAGACGGGACATGTGAGGCTCTGACCACACTCCGCCTTGCCAACAAGGGCAGGCAAGTATCTATGGGGTGAGTCAGGCGGAATGCCTCCCATGGTCTGGGCGCTCAAGACATGCTGGAGCCGTATGGAGCGGCCACAGCGTGTCGAATGAGAACAGCATAGGCTTGCCTAGTTGGCCTGGCTAGGCTTAGCGTTCCAACCGCCGACCGCACTTCCCTGCTGGCTACCTACAGTCTACTACTCCCTACTTGCTCCTTCATCCAGAGCCTTATGTCATCCAATATCCTCACAGGCAAGGAGCACACCTCGGCCTCTTACGTCTATCAGTCCCGTTATGCGGTCCGCTCCATCTTGGTCCGTTCCCAACTGCATCGCTAGCCAACTCATAGACGACACAGCCATTACACACACTGGCCCGCATGCCAGGTGGCTAGATTTCCCCTTCTCATTTTCCTCCTGTTCCAAGTCTTTTCCGGACCCCAAGGCCAAGAGCTAGCGAAACACGTCAGCAAAAAGCCCTCGAGATAATCCCGAAAGCACGAGGCTGAGGCAATGGATATCCACAAGTCGTATTCTAGGAATTTCTTCCTATTGGCTTGGTTTGCATCTTAGATCGTAATATAGCCCCATCGACAGCGCGATCATCCCGAGTTTCACCCATCGACCGGCAATAATGTATGCAGGAACCTGGTGACATGGGTCCCTCACCTTGATCGGCAACCGCACGTTGGCTATCTTGTAGGCACTTTCCTGTCTACTGAATCTCCTCCAGCCGTGGGTCTGAGCATGGCCAGCCATGTATCATGGTCCTCAGCTCTCATACCAGTCGGTCGGACGAGCTCAGCTGAAATAGACTGGTCAGCATCTAGGATGAACATCCCTGTTTGCACGGCTACTCCCTAGTACCCGGCAAACAACAGCCTTGTTCTCGGAAACCCTGCTAACGGCTGCCACCGCCACTCGCATATCATGCTGTTCCGTGCACATAATATTCTTCACTAACGTACCCACTTTCTCGGGGCTGCCATCCTTCTCAGACTTAAACCAAGGACGCTAACACCTTTTGCCATCTCATCATTCTGACGTTGCCCCTTCTCCTTCATCATGGGCAACCGTCCGCGTTCTAGACGACAATAGAAATACTCACAATGCGCCCAAACATCAGTTGTAGTGTGTTGCGCTTGATTTGGTCTAGCTATCCAAGCATTATCCAATACGCTCTCCAGCACTTACACTCTCGTTACACCATTCTAGCTGGGTTTAGGGCTTCATCATTTCTTGTCTAGCTTCGGACAAAGCTCGATCATCACCTGGGATAGTCAACGCCCTTGTGAGCAAGCCTTCTTTGAGAAATGGAACATATTCTAACCCACCTCGATAAATACCCACTCTAACACAACCCACGATTGAAAATCACCCACTGCCCCAGTATTGAGCTGTAAAGGTCTATTGGAGTTTACATGGAACATGTGTCAAAACCAACAATCCAATTTGCAGCAGGCGGAATCGCCCACACAAGAGCAATCTGTGACTGGCGAACAAGCATCAGAAGCGAACAAAGACGATTGGGCCGATGTCAGTGACCCCAGTGAACGAAGAAAGATACAGAACAAACTGGCTCAAAGGAGATTTCGTCAGTGGTGCCCTTCAGGCAACTCGCTCTCACTAATGACAGCATAGGTGACAGGATCAAAGAGCAAAGGGAGGAAGCAGAACGAGAGTTGGAGAATATACGAAGAGCTGGAGGCTCGTACGCACCACCAGAGCCGGAAAGCATCGACACCAGTCAGACTCTTTCCGGGCTACCTTGGGGTGGTATCTCAATGAGGCATGTGATTGAACAAGGAAAGAACAGGCAACAAAGTTTGCAAAATAATATACGCGGCGGCTGTACAGATCTCACTGAGCATCTCAAAGAGGACAAAAACAGTAGGTAACAACTGAGTGGGAGTGTAAGCTTTTTGACGGCTGCTTGCCCATACTGACTAGCTAGGACGGGCCCTCCCGTGTCCAATTCATGTGTGTCACCATCCTTCCGCTTCGACGTATATTTTACGGACTCCGACTTGATGCTCAATTCGAAGATAAAAACAAAGCAAAACCTTCAGACCTACAACGCTCTCAGGCCAACGCTCTGGATTTACAATGACGGAAAAATCTCTGGAAGCCGCAGTTCTCCCTCAAATTGAATATTCCAATCCTTCCTCAGGACGCCGCGATCATCCGCAGTAAGCGCAAAGGCCAATTAGCAGGTGCTTTTGGGAGTGGCGTGGTGTCGCTACCAAGTATCGAAAGCACATGGTTGTGTCCGCAGCGCACCAACTTGTTACACATCAGCATGCTTGCTGCGGCGACTGGTTTGGGGGCTTGTCTCAATTCGGGGCTCTCACACATTGCAATTCGATCATCGTTGCTGGTGTTCGGGGGCTGTTCCGCGTTGCTCTTACGCGCGGCGGTTACTCGAAACGTCTGAATGGCCGCCTCCTGACGTCTTCATGCAAGAGGCACAACTCTGCCCCGCCCCATTAATTAAGGATATTCCCGAAAGTCAAGTAGGAAGCGTGAGAGTTCGTATCGTGTGTTGGAGTCCGTGGATCGGTCGTGGCCCGAGGTGTCGACAGTCAGCCCGTGGCGATGCATGGCCGACCCCATCCTCAGCAAAGCCCACCATGGTGCCGTCATGTACCAATGACAATACCTGGTCCATCATCGATTCCTTCTCTTTCCTGAGTAGACACCACTTCAGGCACCAGGACAAGGGCCGACAACCTCAGCTCGAGTGGAAGCCTGCGAGTTACTTAGGCCAGCGATGTGCGGCCCAAGGCACCCTCAGCGATGTGGGCATCCTTGACGTGTGGCACGCATGATATACTCATTCATGGGCTCAGAGGCTTAACCAGAATCGGATTACTCCTTCCACTGCAGTCAGCCTTAGAACATTCCAAGGTTCAGCTAGCAAGTGGTGGTTGCAGGGTTTCGGCAGCGCCGCAAGGCTGAGCAAAAGTTAGACCGACGTCAGTCTTCAGCTTTCTCCCATGGCCGACCGGCGGTGCCCGCAACCTAAACAAAATGTTGCTGTTTGCATTACGACTACGTTGGTTGTCCCAGGCATCAGACAGCCTCGCGCACAGCCCCTTGGCACGCATCCGCATGTGCGTGAATTTGTTGTTTCTGCTGCAAGCTTGGTCACGAGCCTCGCCCCCGCTGCGGTGCGCGGCCACTGTGCCTTGCATTATCACCACAACTCAGCCCACGATAGCTGGACTCAACCATTTAGCGGCAATTGTGAGATTAAGGCACGGCGGCAAAGCGAGATAATTGTCTGGAGAAGGCAATCCCTCGCTCATCGGCTCCCCCTAATTTAACCGTCTACGGTTAAGCCTGTGTCGCTTCGCAGCAAGCAGACTGGGCACTACGCCTCCTGACGCGCCGCCATTGGCGCATGGCCACAAGCAAGTGGGTATTATGCCAGTTATGCTGACCAAAAACGGATGATTGACGCAACAGAAAGTCGAGTGTATGCGGAATTGCGGCAAATGCCCGTCGTCACGCTACCACACTCGCTCCAGTAAGCCAGGCAGACCTGCGGCGTCGACTCTTTTTCTCCTCTCCTTCGGCTCTGCCCGAGCAAGCCACATCCGCTTCATACGTCTCAACGCTCTGAGGCACGGATAGTCTGTTCGTTAAGCGCCGCCGTAAGATGGACCGTTTGTTCTGCCTACACGATGGATCAGCTAAGGCTGTGGCGTGGAGCTGGCAGAGTTGGATCGATATATAGCTCCTCACTCGACGTTTAGTATGGAGCCATCCCAATACGACGACTCTCCATGTCAGCAGAGCAATTCTCAAAGCTCTCTCTCGGAGAGAAAATGGTAACCACTCGTGCTGGGGCCGCAAGGGCAGCAAGAGCCAGTCTGCACTCCTCGGGATCAGAGCACTCCAACCAGGACCAACCGATACCATCCGTCGAGCCCACCGTCTCGCCTACGCCTTCTCTTGTTATATCCACCAAAAACCTCCAGTACAATGTCTCGGCTTTCGACAAGGACCTTCGCAGGAGGGCCAGGAAAGGACTTGAGGGCAAACAAATCAGACTCAAGTACTGCGCCATCTCCGAGGATGAAGAAAGCCCGGCTGGAAGCCCGAAGAAGTATTTCTATCTCGACGACGACATCACTGTAGCCATAGGCGGCACGTTGGCACGACCGAGATGCTCGTGTGGTGCAAATGAGACGGGCGTCGCCTGCAAGGTATGCTTGTCTATCCAGGTGTGTCTGAACAACAAACTAAAGGCAATCTGAAGCACATATATTGGGTAGGTGACCAGATCATGTCAACTAGCCCCGACGACATTGTCAAGACGCCTCTTCATCTTTCGCCCGATGGCTCAAAGATTGAAGACGTAAAGCCAGACAACATCCTGGACACCAAAGGCCTGGCAAACATTGCCAACGATCTGAAGTGGGTATACCGAGATGACGAACTACCCGAAGACGACGAAGAAATGCGGGATGCGATCACCGACATGCTCTCTTGTTTTGCCCCTCAAGAAGAGTTACCCGACGAGTTTAAATGCCCTGAATCACCACTTACATCAGAGCGCTCGAAAAAGTACCAGGAGCTCGCAGACCTCATCACCGAGTACGCCAACCGAGATGCTAGTTTGTACCTTCGTGTGCGCAAGATTATCGATCCCGACTTTGAGAGCCGTGTCTTTTTTGAAAAGGTCGACAACCGCATGATCTTGACCTTCAACGCGCTCGAGGAGTACATTGCAAAGGGGCCCGCACATGCAATTCCAGGACTGCTCCGCTTCGACGTGCCCAGCTGCGCGAAGAGACTCACATTGCTCGTCACTTCCATCGACGAGTTCTACCGGAACCACGCACATGTTGAAGATGTAGCTGTGCGGGCAGCAGCAGCTCTGATTACGATTCTCGACCGCGTCACAGACCGCAACGTGAACGCATACGAGGACATTACATGGGATTTCGAAGCGCCCTCGGATCCCACGCAGAGCAACCTTTACATTGCGCTCGTGGGAACATATGAGGATGGCGACTTGCCCTTTGTCCTAGATGCCCTTGGGTCGTTGCCGCACGAGGCCGTGATTCGCAATCACTGGGAGACGCTGCAGGGTATCGAGCAAAAGCTTGCCGAGTCCAGTGCCCCCGTTCAGTACATGAACATTTTCCGCAACATCGTCTATGAGAACCGCAAGAGGGCCGGGTCCGAAGTCCGCGAGCGCGAGCCCAAAAGAGCGATGCAGTAATAACGACTGCAGCCTTAATGCGGGGTAAGTCCTGTCACGACTGCAACAAGCAGCGGCGGTGAATCGAGTGAGGTGGGGCGTCGTTTGCTTCTTCGTCTCCTTCCCCTTTTGGCTTTTATCGGCGTACTGGCGTTGGTAGGTTTATTGCGTCTCTTGCACTTTTTCCGTTCCTTTCTTTGCGCTCTCTCGTCCTGTTTAGCTCTAATGCCTTCTCATCCCTCTCCTTGCGAAGCCATGGCTGTCCGCAATGCTAGCTTCATCCTTCTTCTTTAGTCTTTTGAGGTCTGCCCGACTTTGGTCCGTCTCAGCAGCCTTTCCCCTCTCCCTTTCTGTCTCTCCTTTTTTTTTCTCCCTTTCTTTCTGACCGACTGATTCCGGAGAGCAATCCACCGGATGATTGAGTGAATTTTTTTTGTTTGTTTCATGCTTTTGTTTGGCTTTCTTCTAGATTACTTCTCTTCGTTCCTTTACCCTTTCTGGAAGCTCACCAGTACACTTTGTTTTGGCCTTATTTGTTGGGCTGCTCTGCTTGGGATTCGCTTCTTCCGCTCTTTGGATACCTATTTTTGAGCAAACATGATATAGCCTGGCTTCATCAATGTCACATTTTGTTGCATCAGTGTAACCTTCCGGTGTAGCATGTGATTGATGGTATTATAGCTCAACAGTTTGGTCTCGCTGGTCTGGCGTGTCGATGGGGTGTGACTGAAACTCGGTCTCCACGTGTCGAACCACGCTGAGGTGAGCCTAGGCCATGACCGTCAGCTGACCCGAGACCATCTATCACACTCTGTAACCCATATACGTTGCCGACTGCCGACATCTACAAAGGTCCCGAGGAGTTGGGTGTTTGGCCGACGGCTGCTGGGTGCAATAGCGCCGAGCCGCACAATGTGGAGCCGATGCGGTCAATGGCTGAGACCCGTGTATGGCCAAAGCCTCGGCTGGTCCCTCCGCTGGTAGGGACCAGGCGAACTATAATTTACTGCGCGCTGCAGGACAAGGCGATTTCGCGCTGTAGGCTCCTACACCCTTTCGGCACAAATGTGGAAGCTAAGCTTCTTGCATGTGGATAAACTTGGAAATCGGCATCGGACGTCTACACGGGCCAATCAGCAGAGACTGGGCCAGGAGCCAGTATAACGACCCAGTCATTAGCATGTGTAAGTGGCCGTCGACTGATCCAGTCAATGAAACCCGAAGTACACACCACCTGTCCCTATGCAGCGTTACACAACTGCTGCTTGCCGTCCTAGACCCGTCGTGGGATGAAACCGCGCAGCGGAGCGTCGAGCCAAGCAGCGGCACATATCCGACCTGGTAAGCATGCTTAAGCACCAGGCGTGCAGAGCAGTCATTGATTCAATCGACGCCTTTGGCGCTTGTTGCAATGCCCCCGCAGTAAGCAGTGGTTCAAAGGGATAATTCCGCCAGAACGTCCGCAGGGGGTGCCCCCCCGAAGACATGGGCATGACCGCTTTAGACTGGACACCTGATTTGGCAAAGATAACGGGCTGAAACTCACGTATGTCGACCATGATCGGGGCGGGCAGGCAAAAAGAAAGCAGAGGCGAACCGGGGGCCGGCGTTGGGCGCGGAGGTTGCTGAAGACGGTGTGCGTGTGCTAGACCCGGTATAAGTAGATATGTAGATGCTGACGAGGGCCAGGAGACGTAGTTGTTGAGTGGCAAGATGGCTTGTGCTGGCTGGGCTGTTGTGCTGATCGGGCTTGGGATAGTCGTTGTGGACACCTGGAGGAGGGCCGAATAGACTGAGCGACGGGGAGCAGCGGCTAGGCTTGAGTCGCGAGCCGACGTGGTTGGCGCTGAGGTGAAAGGAATGCATCCGTTATCCACATGGCTTGGTGCTGGACTGCGGGGAAACGAGATGCGCTAGGCCTATCCTGGCACTAGCGCAGACACTATCTTCTGGGAGACGCAGCTAAGACGCGCGCTGCTGCTTCGATATTACTCTCCTGTCTATCATATTCCTGCTTTCTCCTCCCCCTTTGAACGCGCCCTCGTTAGCTGTTGTTTTAGTCTGGTGCCCGGCTTCGTTGCTCCAAACGCGCTTTCCGTCCCAGACTTGCTCGCTTATCACGCCATTGACCCCGCTGACGTACGACACTCGGAAGACCCTGTCTGTGCGCCTAGCGACATATCAACTGTCCCACCCGCCCTGCTATCCACTGCTCCCCAACGTTCTTTGTCCCATTCACCACTCAACCACAACCACACACGCACACACACACACAGAAAGACACGCCACCCCACGCCCGGCTCCCTGAAATAGCCCTCGCCCTCCCACACACACACACACACCAGCACTCGTCCCTCTTCACTGCCTGCTCTCCACCACTTGCTCTTCACCGCCACTAACCATGTCTTCCAACGACCGACACTCGCCCCCTCTTCACTCGCCCGATGTCCGCCGACGGGCCTCCATCACGAGCCAGACGTTCCATGACCTCTTTGGCCGCTCAAACAGCATTGCCAGTCTGCCCGTGGGCGGACAGTCGTCGGGTCCCATCGCCACAGCTGCTGCCAATGCCCAGCGCCGACGGCTCTCGCTGACGACCATCGGCCTGGGAGCCTCGCCTGGTCAAACCTCGCCCTTCCTCCAGACCCCGCGGACCCGCACCGAGAGCATCTCCAGCGCCAACTCTGGATCCGTCGATGAGAGCCCCTTCGAGGACGACTTCGGGCCTTCCGCCACGGCCAGCAACCCCGCAACGCCGTTTGCTCGTCGGCTGAGCTTTGGGGCTCGTGCAATGCGGGACATTAGGCAGAGCAACGGAGGTGTCGGGAACCCAAATGGTAGACCACCCGTCCATAAAGCTTCCTCTCCCCCGACTGGTCGAGGTCGAGGTCTGTCTTCATTGTCGCAGTCATTGCCCTCTTCTTCTTCCCTGCTCCGCCCCTTTACCCAATCCCACTCGCGGCGTTCTACTTCCATCTCGCACATTTGGCCCTCCACCATTGCGGAACACTCCGAGTCCGTGCTTGGAAACTACTCGCTAACGCCGTCTTCCACAGGCGAAGGTTACAATTTCGCTGAGAACCTCCGATCACGAGCCGAGCGGGGTTCCATCTCCGGCCCCTCTTCGACTCTGGGTCCCGCTGGCCCGACACACCATCGTGCAAAGAGCGTTACCATTATGGAGCCCCCGGCCCGCGAGATGCCCAAGCCAAAGGTCCCCGATGCCATGCAAGAGCGGATCCTCAAGGGTGATTTCTACATGGACTAGTTTGCCCCACACTTGTCTGCATTTGAACATCTCCGGTAGGTCTTCTGGTGCGTTTCCGCGTGGCCGTGCCGTGACTAACGTCTGCTATCCTCAGTACCATCTACCCTGACAGATGAGACGTTAGATCATTCCGCGACCGTGTACCACTACTCTTCCGTCTGCGTAACCCAGTATTTCCCATGTCTCTGGGTCCCTTGCCCAGTCCAGCTATTGTATTTCCCATGGCTATGGGTGGCTGACCAACTCTAATATTTGTTCTGAATCGATATAAAAAGGCCCCCACCCCACATACCAACCCCCCAACATACGCACACCGAGTTGTGGAGTGTGCTTCGCCGCGGCCACGACATACACTCGGCAGCGTCGTCTTCATACATACCTACCACAGCCTTTGTTTGACGCTTACGGTCACTTGAACGTTCTTCATGCGTTTGAGATGGCTATCGTGACGTTTATGGTTTTGCATTGGAAGATTTATCGGATCCATCACAGCACATGTTTTCCAGGCGCAGCTACCACTATAGTCATATGCACTTCATGTTTGTTCATGGCCTGGGGATGAGGCGCACAGGTTTGGAAGGCGAGTATCAGATTGTTACGCTTACACAAAGGGGGGTCTCTGCATCGGTGGAGCATGGGCTCTGGAGTTGACGGACACATGACACGGACAGTAGTAGGAGGGTCGGTTTTATTGCCCCCCCCTGGCATAAGAGGCACTGTATTGAGATAAAAAAAAAGTACTACAAATCAGGACAGATTGCGGCAGACTATCACATGAATGCAATGTCATGATTTACGGCGTATATGGGAAATAGAGTGCAACGTGGGGTTTTTGGTCCGAAATGGTGTGTTGGCACGCGTAATCAGTCCCCACTTTTTGCCTAATGTGATCTCATGGCACTGGTTGCTTGGAGGGGATCAGCGTTGGGGGTGTGGAGGGGTTATGGCCCGTCGATCATCTACGCCTCGGGCGGTAAGACGCCAATCCAAACCTACCCTATCACTATGCCGCCATTATCATTGTACGCCGACTATGGCGGCACGCTACGGCAAGACCAAGTACGTAGGTGTAGGTGACAACGTCATACTCGGGGTATACTCATCATATTGTGCTCCCAGATGCTGCAACCAAACTAACCTATGTGTAGACATGCTCTATGGAAGAGAAAAAAAAAGAGGACAAGAGCTTTGGAAAAAGAAAAAAGAAGAAGAAAAGAAAGAAATTCAAAGCCAAGACAAAACATAGTCATGTTGAATTCATAGCATTTCTTTTCTCTCGTTTTTTTTTGGTTGGTTTGCGTTCATCTCTTTCACCCTTTCCCCCCATCTTTCGTTACATATTGCAATGGCTCAATTGCACAGTCATGGTATAGTTTGGAAGAACCGATCCACTCACAATCAAAACAAGAAGAGGCAAGTAAGTAAGAAAGAAAGAAGGAAGGAAGGGAGAAAGAAGATGAAGAAGAAGAAGAAAAAAAAGAGGAGGAGAAAAGAAAGGAATGACGCCGGTAAAAATGCATCGACAGAAAGCTCGCTGATGGAAAAGGACAGTTATTTTGATGCCGCTAAAACAACGCAAAAAAGAAAAAAAAAACAGTTAAACAGCAACGCAAAGCAGAGCAACGCAAAGCAAAGCAAATGAACGAACAACCATGAAACCGGTTCGCAGAAAAGTTTGAATCATGTCTCATCCCATCCACTGGTAAAAAGAGCGATACCTTGAGAAACCCCCCAAAATGCTAAAGGAATGTGCGTGCAGTGTGGTGCCAAAAACGCCTGTAAGAAAAAACAAATGCCCAAATCACACGTGGCCATAATCATGACCGTGTTTCCTTCTCTTGCTTCAAGCACCACATGCCTTTTAGATCAAAGGACCAGCCATCATAGGACTCATGTTCCTCGTGTTGGCCGTCAGAGTGGACTCATAGGGTACTTGTGTATCGTTGATCGAGCCCTGTCTGGGCCGATAGTAACTGTTGGCATATGCGGGGGCAGAGCCACTGTATACGCCCTGTGTTGGCGACTGAAGACCGGGAGAGGCAGCGCTGTGCATGTTACGGCTACTTCGACGTCGACCAAGGACAGGTGATGCAGAATCATTTTGCACCGTACCTGTAGAGTTGATGGACTCATTCGAGTTGCTCCTCACATGCTGTGCAGTTGCTGGTTGCTGCATCTGAGGCGAGCCGGTAGAGTTGGCTGGACGCTGAAAACCTTGGGTAAATGGATTGGTGCGTGCAGGTACACTGGTGTCGCGTTGTCCAAGCGCCTGTCTTCTCGTCTCGATCAGCTCACGAGCTCGCATGTTGCGTTCGTCTTGCGTCAGTCCAACTGGACGAGCAGGGGACTGCGTAGGAGATTGCGTGTTTTGAGTTGGCGAGGGAGGTGGTCTGCCATGCTCACTTGCCCGCAAAGTACGAGTCGAAGCCTGGTTGTTGAGTTGACGTCTTGATGGCTGGGACCGGAGGTTGAGGCGTGATGGCTGAGGCCTCATGTTTGGTTGTTGATTGTTGGTCTCTCGGACATTAACACGAGAGTTTGCCGGCCGCAGAGTGGCTACAGAAGACTCGTTTCGCAAAACTTGGCGTGAGTTGCGGTTACGGACACCACGTGCTTGTACGAATGCAGCCCAAGGATTACCCCGGGCTGTAAAGGGCGGAAGAGCCGCACCCTGCACGTGTAGTCCCATGCCGGCATGAGGAAAGCCGTTGACGCCAGCAAAGTTGCCAGAGTTCCTCCTGCTATTTGCTGAAGAAGGACGAGCACCGACACGACTCTGTGGGCGATCAATCATATCCATAGCTGCTGCTGCCTGTGTCTGGGCTATGTTATCGATGGTATGCTGAGACGTAGCAGTGGACGAGCCAGGAGTCATGGTAGAAGTATTGTTATTCGAACTAACAGAAGGAGCACGATCAAACCGGCTCATATTGCCATTGTTCGCCATTGCGGGAAATCCTGGAGACATGGCGCTTCTTCGAGGCGGCGACACTGGCATACGTGGATCCATAGCAAGGTTTGATGTGTTGTCCATCAGCGGTGTCCTCAGGCGTGCAGGAGGCAGGAAAGGCGAGTATGCTTGTGCTGGGCTAGGCCGATTCCTGTTCCTTGTCCGAGGGCGATTAAGGGGGGTAATAGCTCGTGGCTCCACATCTATCAATGCGCCCGCCATCTGGTGCTGCTGAAGAGCCTGTTGGTGTGCGGCAAACATCCAACTGATACGCGGGTCGTATTCTCGATGCTGCACACGCGGAGCCCCTCGTGCATGCCCCTGCGAGGTGTCGGAGTTGTCATCAGTGTCTCCCTCGTTTGTTCCATCGACCTGGGCAGCCCCGCGATTGACGAAGCGGGCGGCGGGATTTGAAAAAGCAGATGCATTCCGCATATGGGCTTGTGAGCGGCGTGTTCGCAGAGTGTTCATAGCCAGCTCAATATCACCATTTTGGTCAGAATCATCGTCGTCCGCTTCGCCGTCCTCATAAGGAGCTCCCGAGGCAGGGAGGACAGAGGTTCTTCGACGCAGGCCACGAGAGGCATTCAAGACACGAGTGTTGCCGGTTCGCGAAGGCGGTCGTATGGGGGCGCTAGGCCGTGGACGATCTGCAGTAGGTGTTAGAGAACCGCCCATTCGGCTTCTGTCATTTGAGTTCGCAAGCGGTTCCCACCCGACGGTCGTTCTTCCTCCATCACTGTCTTCTTCGTCTTCTTCCCCCATTTCATCGTCGTCGTCGCGTTGCAGCATCCACCCCTCTTCTCTCAGCAAGGCCTGTGTGTCTTCGTCAAGCTCTTCATTCGAGACGTCAGTTGATGTTGTCGAAGCCGTCTCATGAGATCTTGAGCCATTCGCCCGGTGCAGAGCACGTGCCTGAGCGGGGTGTCTCACTCCTCTGCGAATGGGGCCTGCGTCTTCTTCATCCTCATCCTCGTCCTCGACAACGCTCGAGCGGTTCGACGAAGTCTCAGACTCGACGATGCGGCGTGCTCTGGCATGTGGCCGAGTCCTGTTGCCCGACGGTTGCGGCATGGGACCGGGCGTGGAGGACGCGTTGCTAGGCGAGCTAGATGCCTGCAGGCCATCATCGTCAATGAAGTCGTTCATAGACGAGTCCTCTTCTAGGCCTTCTTCGTCTTCCTCTTCGACCGTGTCCATCTCGTCACCGTAAATGTCTGAGACTATGCTTTGGGTGTATGAGCGTCGGCTGCCCGCTTCACTGTGCGAGATTGGACGCCGCCGTGCAAAGGCCGCTGCGTGTGGTGGTATTCCAGCCTCGAGAAAGCGGCGCATCATGACCGAGTCGTCAGCATATGCGCCCCAGTCTCCCATGCCATCGTCGTAGTCGTCATATTCACCGTTTTCAAAGTCCATCTCGGCGTCAAGGTCGGTGTCGTGCTCGGACATTTCGTCCATGTCGCTGAAGCCCGTGAAGCTGTCGCCCCATGAGACCTCGCCTGTCTCGTCGAATATCAGGCCGCACTGGTTGCAGCCGCCATCTTCCAGCTCCCAGGTGCAAACGGGGCAGCGGTCGACGCCATCTTCTTGGTCACGGACAACCTGCAGCGAGGGGCCGCGTTGGTGCTGCGCGAGGCGGAAGCAGCCCTTGAAGAGGCCTCCAGCGCGGGGGTCTTCGTTGTCCTTGTCCTGCTGGACGGCGTCGGCTTCGTCTTTCTGCCACTTTTTGTGGTCGTCGAGGCTCTCGCCTACCGGGAGCAGCTCGGCGCGGGTGATGAAGACGTTTGTCATGTCCCGTATCTGGGGCCTTGTGAGAGGGGCTCGCCATGTATCTGCGTGGCTCGACTTACTACATAGGCCGGGGCAGGCAGGTCCTTGACGACAATGCGGCAGTCGGGGCATGTCTTGCGGGCCTTGTTGCTGACGAACCAGGTGCAGAGGCACTGTGCATGTCATGTTAGAGCGAGGCGGGCACGGCGGTGCATGCGCGGGGGCTTACCGTGTAGCAGTACGTGTGGCCGCACGAGATGGTGTAGGGCTGGTAGAGCAGGCGGTCGCAGATCTTGCATGTGAGGTGGTTGCGGAGGCTGTCAAACTCGGACTTGAGGGCCTTGAGTTGCTGGCAGGCGTTAGCATGGCTCCCCGCGCAATGGGGCCCGCGGGCGCACCTCTTCTGCCCGGCTGGGCTGGGGCGTGTCGTCCTTCTTGGCCAGCATCTTCTGCTTGAGGCTGTCCTTGCTGGCGGCGCGAGAGGGCCGGTCGGCGTCGCCCAGCTTGGAGGCGGAGCGGCTGGCCGTCGGGGTGCTCCCGCGCCCGGCCCGCGAGGTCGACGGCATGCCTGGCTGCGGCTGCTGCTGCTGCTGCTGCTGCTGCGAGGGCGGCGTGGCCGACGTGATGGACGACGAGGAATTCTTGGGGCGGGCGGTGGGCGGGGTCGGCGAGGCTCGACTGTCCATTGCGGGCGGTGGTGTCTCTCTTTTCACTTGACGGACAACGGCAGCCGGGGAAGGGGCGACGCAGCATCTGCTCACATGGGACGTTGCCCTTGTCGTCAAAGACCAGGCTGCGTGTATGGCTGGCCGTGGTGGTGCATGCAAGAGCGGGCCTGCTAGTCGAGGCAAGCCAAGGCAATGCTGGCGCTCGGTCGCCTGTGCCCTTGCCCTCCGACCCTTTGCCGCAGCAGCCGTTCGCCCAGCACACAGCGCCCTCTGCCTCGTCGCTCCGTCCTTAGCGCCCACCGCCGCCGCCGCCGCCGTCGCCCCTCTCCGCCAACCATTCCCGCGAGCCACAGCAATTCCATACCATGGCAGCCGCGGATTGGCCCGTCTGCGCCCGGGACGGGGCCGCCAGGCCAATGACGTGGGCACGCGACGAGTCGCTTGTGTGTCTCCATCGATCCATTTTGACCGGACGCTCGAATGTCCTCTCTGCGAAGAGCCCGCCGAGCCTCTGTCCACGGCGCTGGCTGGGACGCGAGCCTCGTTAAGCGCGCTGGCTCGGTACGGGGCTGCATTTTCGCTGCCACAGTGGGCTGCAAATGCCACCCGCAACGGCCCATGGCGCTGGTTCGGCCAGACTGCAGCCCACGGCTAAACCCTGCATGCCTATGCTGGTCGCTACTGACTATCGCATCCAGATATCGGCCTCTTGGATAGCGTCGTTGCCGTGACTCTTCAGCGGCCGTGGAACGCGGTGGCTGGCGTGGCATGGCCGTGTTTTCCATGCCCACACGTTCGGCGCGAGTTCCAAAGGGAACATGCACATTGGGCGTCGCATGCGTCGTCCGTCTCGACCAGCATTCAGTGGCCGCTGCTCGCCCTCCGCCATGGCTTGCCACTACAGATTTGACATGCCATGTCAGACAAGAAACAAGCCAAGGTTACGCTGTCTGTCCCAGCAGCATGTCTATGTTTGAGTCTCCGATTGGACGCCTAGCTTTAGGTCGTCGCGTTGCTATGCACGAGAGCGCACACTCCTCCGGCCGACGACACTGGAGTCCGGCCTCAACTTGCCAAAACATTATGATGCAAAGTTACAATACCATGGCCAGCCTGGAGACTCTCTATTCGCTTGTAAAGCAGCTCTATTGCTGCCACAATGGAATCGTCAGTTGCATGTGATGAGTCCGAATGAGCCCTGTGTGCAACGTCTCATTACACAATTGACCCATGTGCTTCTGGTAATATCAAACCAAGAGGAATAACTAATAAACAAGAGAACATGTGTTCGGGCGCTAAGCCAGCGGGTTGGGTGCTGGTGTAGCCGCTGCCGTGCCGTGCGTGCGTGTGCCTAACAAAGTAATAGTCTTATCGATAACACACCTCCGCGGCTCCATTCTCCATTCTCCATTGCCGCCTCAGACTTCGTCTCTGCGCAGTTCACAGCAACGCGCCCGAGCAGCCCCGAGCCCATTCGCCTTTTTGTTTTCCGAATTGGCCATTCCCATACCCCGGTACCATGTCAGAAAAGCCTACACCTCCTTCCAAAGCGAGCGAATGGTCTGGCACCAAAGCCAACAAGTTTGACAAGTACGCCACCACCTCTTGCTGCGTTGCGGTTGTCTCGAGGAGGAACGGAAGCTGATGTGATCTTAAAATAGTAAAGCGCATAGCGAGTACTATGATCCGTGCCAGGAAGCTGCGGATAGGAGCATACGGTGTCTGAAGAGGAACGGTGGTGAGAGGGCCATGTGTTCAGACTTTTTCCAGTGAGTTGTGGTTCTCAGCCTCATAAGTCCGGGCATGATTGAGAGCGTGTGCTAACAGCGGGTGTGTAGAGCATATCGGGAATGCAAAGAGCAATGGGTACGTTCCGCCTGTCGATAGTGCAACGCCTGCACTCTATCCGCCCTACAAGCCGTACCAGTATGAATAGCCAGTCGCTAATGCGCATACAGCAAGCCGCGAGGAAAGAAGCTAGGAAGGGCAAGTCGTGGTTCAGTTGACCGAGTGTGTGGAAATCCAACAACAGTTGTACAACATCTCCTCTCTGCATAAGCACGGCGTTTGGGTCTGGTTTTGATGGTTGTAACAGCAGGGCGATTACCGTCCATAGCTTGGCTAGCTGATGCGGACATTGGCAAGCAGCGGAAAGGTCTGCTAGACAGACACTGATTTTGTGCCCTTGAACGAAAATCCAAGCAGCAATAGCGAACCCACACGATGCTGAGCACAATGTGTAGCAAAGCCAAGCCAAGGCAATGTCTGTCTAGCAGCTGCGTCATCACGCGTGTGGCATGGTGATAGCCTTGCAACCCGGCCTTGAGCTTAGTCACAATCACGCAATTCCTCATACATGCGGTCCATCTGCCCGAATCCCCCAAAGAGGCAAAGACGTGCTCAATCAATTGGTCGCGCTCGTTGTATCTGCCCTTGCATGATGCACGAGGCTGTGCACTGACGATCTATGGCCTACCCCACCACCCCACTAAAGCTACCCCTCCATCCAGCCCTCTTTTGCTCCCCCTAGCTCCCCTCCTCCTTCCTCGACCCTTTCTCCCACTCCACACATGAGAGTCATTTTTAACCCGTCCTCGTTCAACCGCATCACCACCAGAGCCTTTACCTCAACCGCACGCGCAATGGGTGTCACCAAGACCATCATTCAGGAGGGCAACGGCCCATCCCCGAAAAAGGGCGACACTGTCACCATGGAGTACACTGGCTGGCTCAAGGACGCCGCCACCGACAAGGGCAAGCAGTTTGACAGCACCACCGGTCGTGGTCCTTTCCAGACTGCCATTGGTGTTGGCCGTGTCATCAGGGGTTGGGACGAGGGCGTTGTCACAATGAAGCTGGGCGAGAAGGCCAGGCTCGACATTACCAGTGACTTTGCTTACGGAAGCCAGTGAGTGCTTTTGTATAAACGGGCATATCAAATACTGATGCATATAGGTCATTCCCCGGCCTTATCCCTCCCAACTCCGACCTCATCTTGTAAGTGGTTGGTTTGTCTCTGGACTTTGCATGATGCTGATTCCACGCTAGCGAGGTCGAGCTGAAGAAGATTAACTAAGTTGCGGATAAAGGATGCGGTTAAGGAGGTAATAGAGCAGTCAATGAAGGCTGGAGATGGTCCATGCCTGGTCAATGATTAGAGCCGGGCCAGCAACTTGCTGTGGCGCTACATATGACTGCAGTTTGTCTTCTTCAATCAACAACCCTTTTTTCGTGGACGAGTCCCTCTCATGAACAATCTGCCGTGACTTTCTCCAGTACCGCTCATTTTGGTCATTCAAGTTGTTTACTAGCATGCGCTGGTAGGGCGAATCGTTGGTTCGCACGTTACGAATATGTGCAAGCACTGAACCAACCGTAAAATGTGAAAGAGTTGCCTGCGCTGTGTCGTGGTGGAGTAGTACTGTCATAGTGGAGAAGACGGATGTCTGGCAGGACCCTGAATGCTAGTGCAAACAACTTGCAGATGTCGTGACCTGGGCGCTGGATCCAGCTCTCCTATCTAGGTTGAGCTTTGAGTCGCTTTTGCCAGCACCTTGGCACTCTTGCATACTTTCATACCTCGGCTTAATAGCGTCTCAACGTGTATGCTCGTCGAACCCACTGCATACCGGATAGCCCCGCTGTGACGCTTTGTGTGTCTGCATGGCGTGACATCACCACTGCAATGACAGCTGCATTATGCGCTGTTTAACACTACGGAAAGTATCCACACAGCTTGAATAACCTGGTATGTTCATACTGCCTCGCATCTTTTGTGCTTCACGCACTGCATTTCGCCACGCAAGCAATCGCTCATCGCTGACAGCATTGTCCCAGCAAAGCTCCACCATTGCTACCCCGCTATTCAACATGTCGGCCAGCACACTCAGTATTGACTCGACCTTTGACCTGCCAAACTCGCAGTACAAGATTCCAAAGATTGGCTTTGGTGTCTACCTATCGCATAACGATGTATGCGTCAAGTCGTGCAAGAAGGCCTTTGAGGCAGGCTACCGGCACATTGACACTGCACAATATTATGGCAACGAAAAAGAGGTTGGACAGGCACTGGCTGAGAGCGGGCTTCCTCGCAAGGACGTTTACATTACGTCCAAGATTCTGAGCCCAGGCGAGGATGTCGAGTCTACGTACAAAAAGGTCGTCGACAGCGTTGAGAAGCTTGCTGGAAAGGAGGGCTATGCAGACCTATTTCTCGTCCACAGCCCCAACGGAGGCAAAGAGGCTAGGAAGCTGATGTGGCTGGCACTGAGGAGGGCCAAGGACGAGGGCAAGGTGCGAGAAATTGGCGTCAGCAACTACGGCATCCAGCATATTGAGGAGCTTGCCACTATCGACAGCAAGGATGCTGTACCAGCTGTAAACCAGATTGAGGTTTGTTGCGCCACACTCGCAGTCGCTACACAATGACTAACAAACCATACCAGCTCCACCCGTGGTGCCAGCAGCGCGAAATTGTCGAGTACTGCAACAAGCACGGCATCGTGGTCGAAGCCTACTGCCCGCTTGTCCGCAACGAAAAGGCAAACGACGAGACGATTGCCCGCATCGCCAAGAAACACAACAAGGAGCCCAGCCAGGTCCTGATCCGATGGAGTCTGCAAAAGGGCTTTGTCCCGCTCCCCAAGAGCGACAATCCGTCTCGCATTGTGGGCAACGCCAATGTGTACGATTTCGACCTCGACAAGGATGACATGGCTGCGCTGGATGCTCTGGACCAGGGTGCAAAGGGCGCTATCGTTGAGGCCGTTAAGAATTAGCCTGTTTTGTTGCCGACACGCTGTTGACAGTAGCATAGGTCAGGGATTGGTCGAGCATCTTGGTCGAGCATCGGTGGCTTATTGTAACGCGTTGCATCATGTACTGTAAAGGAATTGCATATACATTCGCTAGTACGTATGGTAGAATGTATGGTACTCTATATCTTCTATTACTGCACAAGCTTGCTTGTCGACTACCGCTATACTTGTACAATGGCCTTTTATCCTTGTCCACCTCTTTGCCGTGGATGCAGTAGATCGTCCATCTAGCTCTGATACAGCATCTCAAACAACCCTGCCTCGAGCTATGCAGTGTCTGTCCAAAGGCCAACATGAGTGGAGCATATGCACGTGATTGCTCCACTCTGTTGAATCATCTGCACTCTCCGTCAGTTTCAAAACCAACAATATATATTTTCCACCACAACATTTCTCCAACAAGGTTTTGTAGTGTAGCGGTTATCACTCCGGATTCTGATTGGTCGAACATGATCAGAATGTTCCGGCAACCCCGGTTCGATTCCGGGCAAGACCTCTTCCTTTCTCTTCTTTTTTGTTGTTTTTTTTTGCTCTCAATGAGAGAGCGTGTGGCATGCATGGCTTCTTTTCTTTGCTTAGATTGTTGGTGTCGATCTTGTGAGATATTGTGTCATGTATCGTCTGCTTGTTTTTGACTCACTGCCGGGGGGGGGGGGGGGGGTAACAGAAAAGAAGTTGGACATTGACTTTGTTCTTTTCAAAGTTGCACGATCGTTTTCTCGCTGAGTTACTTTGTTCTAATTTGTGGAGTTTTCCAAGTTGATGTTTTGATTCATATTTTTTTTGCTATATACAAAGACAAGAAGGTGAATTGTATATTTATGTATGTTCATACACACATGTTTCTGTATCCAACAGGATGCTGCCATGTGTTTGGTGAAGAGTAGTACTCTGGCCATGAAGTCAATCAAGAGTGGAAATAAGGTTGAATTCTATTTGCAGTAATGTAAGAAATGCATGTCGCGGCTTGACATGACATTGCATAGGATGTGGGGAAGGAACATCACAGACGACTGGCACTTGATTGAACAAAGTGGGTACATTCGACAGGGAGTCCGTGGGTACGCGGTGGAACAGCAGGGTTTGAATGCATTTGTTTGAATTATTATCCTTTCTTTTCTTCTAATCTGTATTAGCAGCAGCATCTACACGGCACAGCTACATGAACTTGTGAGTAAGCGTAAGGGAAAAGAGAAAGAAAAAAAAAGAGGAGTAGAAAAGAAAAAGGCTGCGCAAGTGCCGTAGGAGAGCGGCATGCCGCCTGGTATCATCAAGATCCGTTTGCATAAAGACATAGGAGAAGAGAACAAGGAGGGAAAAAAAAAGAGAACAGTCAAGTCTGGAAGGAGCCGTCGCTAAGAAAAAAAAAGAAGAAGAGAGAAAAAAGTTAGCGTCGGCATGGTAAGATGCAAGAGTATTACAAAAAAAGGGGTATCGTATCGATCTATCAGCAAAAGAACTTGTACACCTTCTTCCACCTTGGCCACTTCTTCTTTTCTTCGCGCTCTTCCTCGACAAGGACTTGGATGTTGAGTTCTCGTATGCCTGTGACGAGGTCCATGTTGTGGGAGCGCACGACCGAGGTGCGGAACCAGAACTTGTAGGGAAAGTAAAATGCTAGTGTGACGGGTAGGGCGAGGTAAATGCTGAAGAAGCGCTGGAGGCGCTGCGAGGTGGATAGTACAGCCATGTCTATTGGGGCGATGGAAACGTAGAACTGGGCAGCAAGGACAAGCATGTTGAGGGCGAAGCCGACGTAGGAGCCAATGATGCCGGGCTGGGAGCGGAAGGCTAGTTCGCTGAGGCTGTGGCCTTGGACTTTCCAGCCCTGGCGGAAGCGGATATGAGCGAGGCAGATGGAGGCCCAGGTGAAGATGGCAGAGAGAGCAGACAGAGCAAGCAGCCAGTTGAAGGTTGCATCTTGGAGCTTGCGGTCTGCGCCAGCGAGAAAGGCGAGGAGACCGAGCGAGGAGGCAAAGGCAATGGAGACGAGGGGACGTCCCTGGCGGTCAATGTAGGCAAAGATTCTGGGGGCTTGTCTCTGCTCTGCGAGGGCTGCGAGGGTGCGCGAGGAGCCGTAGATGGATGAGTTGCCGACGGAGAGGACGGCAATCATAATGACGGCGTTAAAGACGGATGGGAGGCCTTGGATGCCGGCATTTTGAATGGCAATGACAAAAGGAGAGGCAACTGCGTCTGCTTCGTTTGCGTCTTGCAAAAGACGGGGGTTGTTGTAGGGCACGAGCAGGCCGACAATGGTCAGGGAGACGATGTAAAAGAGAGAGATGCGCCAGAAGACTTGCTTGACGGCCGTGGGGAGCGACTTGCGGGGGTTTGCCGTTTCAGCGGCAGCCAGACCAACGAGCTCGGTTCCTGAAAAGGCAAAGGCGGCATTGACAAAGACGCTGCAGAGGCCCTTGAAACCGTTGTTGAAGGGGCCTGGATCGCGCCAGTACTTCGCGCCAATGTAGCCGCCATCGGGACCGCCGCCAATGTTGATGATGATGCCGAGGATGATGAAGCCAATGACTGCGGTGATTTTGACAATGGCAAAGACAAACTCGGCCTCGCCGTATCCCTTGATGCCAAACAGGTTGATGACGACAATCATGACGAGGAAAATGGCGACCCAGGCGTTGTTGTTGACGGAGCCGCCGTTCCAGTATTCAATGGTAAACGTAGCCGCGACAATCTCGAGCGGCAGCACAACGAGCCACTGCAGGGCGTAGTTCCAGCCCATGGCGAAGCCCCACGCGGGGTCGAGAAAGCGGGTCGAGTATGCGGAGAAGGAGCCAGCGACGGGGAAGAGCACGGCCATCTCGCCCAGGGCGTGGACGGTTGTGTAGAGCATGATGCCGACAAGACAGTAGCAGATGACGAGGGATGCTGGGCCACCGTTTGCTAGCGCCTGTCCGGAGCCGACAAATAAACCAGTGCCTTTTTTTTGACAGCGTTAGCAACCGTGACGGCGCGCGCACTGGGGGACGGAACATACCGATGGAGCCTCCGATGGCTATCATCTGCAGATGGCGGCCCTTGAGCCTGCGGGCGAGTGGAGAGTTGGCCGTGTTTGTTGCGGCGGCCTCGGGGTCGAAGACGTTGCTGTCGGCATTGATCGAGGTCTTGGGCGTCATGGTCATGGCGAAGCGCGGGTCTCGCTTGAAGCTGTCGAGCACGCGGCGGCCCAGGCCCTCGTGGTAGCGAGACGACTCGCCATAGTAGTCGGAGCCCTGGGAAGCGCGGCCGAAGCTCTTTTCGGTGCCGTACATGTCGTCGTCGAGCGTCATGGTGGGCAGCGCAGGGAGAAGGCAGCTCGTCCGGTGGTCGCTGCGGCCGTGCAGCAGCTGCCAGAAGAGGGATTGCTTTTTCCCCGTACCATGGGGGGCGCCGGGGCCGGGTTATGAGGGCGATGCTGACGTCCAGGGTGGTTGGGGTCTAATCTTCAGCGGGTGCTAGACAGGGCCCGGCGTGGTGGGAAGGGTTAGGCTAGGCGTCTAGGTGCTGCCTGTTTCGCTGCCTGTTTCGCTGCCTCTCGCTCTCGCTCCACGACCATCCATCCATCCATGCATCCATCCTTCCATCAATAGCAACGCGTCCACGCCCACCGCCCGCCATCCTCATCCTTCCTGCTCCCCCAGCCTGGTATCCGGCATTGTTCGCCCAATTCAATTCACCCGCCGGGTCGCACACGTGCCCCCGTCGCCGCCAGCAGTGCTCCACTCGCCTCCAGCCGTTCGAGCGGACGCACGGCACCGACACCACCACCACGACGATGCAGCAGCCAATCTCGCTTCAGCGCCCATACAATCGACGCCTGGCCGCTTTCCTTATCGCTCCCTCTGCGCCATTGCTGGCCTGACGTGCCGTCTCTCACTGGGCGGGCAGTCGCCGACTCGCCTTAGGTCGTGCCCCTCTGACCCCCCTCGGAACCTCCCTCGCCCCCCGTGCACAAGCACAAGCACATCCACATCCACATCGTAGTGTCTGTTTTTCCAGAAGACGCGCGATGCTTGCCCGCCCGGCTCTCTTGCGCCACGCGTTTCGTGCGTCCAACGGCAAGTCATACTACGCCTGCCCTTGACAGCCGTCGGCCAATGCAGGTACCGTCCACATGTGCCCTCAACCCCACCCACCGCTTGCTGAAGGCCTCTCTCGCCAACCACGCCACATTCTACCGAGCCCTACCTCCAGTACCCCCGACAACGGCCCGTCTTGACCGAACCCTCTGTGCCATTCGCGTCCGCTCTCGTACGAATGCAGACACAACTGTGCTCATTCCCATCCGTCCTGACCTTAGTGCTCCCCTCCGCCCGTGGGCCTTTTCCTCGATTAGTCGACCCTCCCGCTTACCCAACGGGAGCACCAATTGTCTCACCACCCACCTACCCAGGCCCAGGGGCTTGGATGTACACGTCTTCCAGTACACTCTGCTTACAGTGCACACGGCATCTGACTTTCGCAACATCCACGCCCGGAGACGTTGCTCGGCAAGCTGCATGAATCAGACGCGGCTGACCAGGCCTGGCCTTCCGTTGCTGGTAAAGTCCCACAGCGCCTCAAACGATAAGGCACGCCACCGCCCGCTTCCTCCATCTCTGCGACGACTCCCTCCGTTTCACGTCCTTCTGGGGAGAGCAACGCACGTGAGAGGAGTCCAACCACGCCGTGCGAACAATGATCGACTGGCAGCTGCAAAGTTGCTTTTTGCTTCTGCTGCGCTTCCACGACCCCGCGTGGCCCTCATATGCACTGATGCGCTGATGCGTTCTGCACTGGCACTAGCACTGCCACTGGTGCACTGGCGCACAGACTGCGCTTCCTGGCTTGGCCTGGGGGTCTTGCCGAAGAAGCACATGGCCGCAGGTGGCGCAATATGCCGTGGCCCTCATCCTCCTTGTTATGGATGCTCGTGCACAATATACTTTGACGTGCTGGAGGATGCTCTTCGCGACATCCATGTCGATCCTGCCTTCCCCATTTCCGGGCTACACGCTGGCAGGATAAATACACACATGTGTTTCAAAGTAGGGCCAAGTTACCCGTTCCATGAATACCGGCACTAGGACGTGTCACAGCATCTACCGCGCCGTTAGTGTTAGCAACCACACTAGACGCGCAATCTCTCCACGGCTCGGCAGCTAGACACACGACAACTACAACACGTCCACCCGCCTCCCCCATGTCACATGGCACGCCTATCTTACTTTTCCCTTTTTTCCTCAACAATGGGCCAACTCACTGACTACTGTTCCTTGCTCCAGCCCATGATCAACAGCTCGCAACGCTCTTCCATCCCTATCCATCCATGCCCCTTCTAGCCTCTTTCCACGTAAGCCGCGTCATCGACACTATGTGCGCTGCACACAAGATCAGCTTCGCTCTATGTACGCCGTCACACCACCTCTTGGCTGTCCATCAGTCAGTCAAGCTTTCAATTTATTTCCGACGGCCGGCTCTCCATTACACCGCCCCCCCTTATTAAGAAAGCTGCCTACGTACCTGTGTGACGGCGCGGGGTTTTGAGTGCAGGCGCAGGGTCGTGCCTTGCTCGTAGCGATACGTTGCATCAGGGTTTACACGGTAAGTACATGCGTCTACGTGCCGGTGCCAAACTTTGTCTTGTTGTGGCATGTAACGTGGTTCACAAGTGAGTCGCTAACGTGTTTTATCAGTAAGCGGCCCACATCAGTAAGTGGCCCACCCCACCAAACCTGACGCGACGCTCTACTCAATTGCTCTACAGCAACTTAATAAAATTAAATTAAATTAAAAGATATTATTCTTTATCTAGCTTTACATGAAGTCCGAGTATGTCCTTGAACGTGGCACTTCGTGCACGTTGGCGGCGCGCGCTGACGTCGCTCGCCAGTCTGGTTCTGGTCACCCCCCATCACCACCCTTTCTGCCTCTGCAATGATCTGCTGAGCCTGTTGGACCCGGAGCACCCCACCAGAAGCGATATATTGACGCTGCCGCTCCTGCTTTTGTCGTTGGCGCTGGTTTTCTTTACGTAGCTTCTTAATTTCCTCTATAAGTATTGTTACTGTTTGCATTGCAAGCTGAGCGCTTTTAGCAAGCTGGCGTATCATAACGCTTGTTGGGCTCTCTGATCTCCGGCGTAG